GTCGACTAGTTATACACTTTACGGTCTCTATCTCAAAGTAGATGAGGCTGCACCGCCAGCAGTGCAACCCCTCGTAAGAACCCTACCATCCACAACACACTCTGCTCCTCACTCTCAAACCTATCCTTCATCACACTCAACGCCAACGAACACTGAGTCAAGAACCCAGTGAGCTTCTCCCTTGACCCATCGAATTCGTCCGGATCTTTCGGTTTCGGCGCTCGAGTTGACGAAGTTGTCGCCGACCCTTCTCTAGTTCCCCGCTGTCCTCGACGAAGTTCTTGTACTATCTCTGTCAGAGCCTCACTCTTCTGGTTGTCAGCCGCCTTCAATTCTCTCAGCGCTCTCATCATTTCCACCAGCATCCCATCCCTAATATCTTCTTTAAATCTCTCCGGTGAGTTCCCTCCCCTAGGTCGCGATGTATACGAACTTCTTCCACCAGTCGACCCCCCATCTTCTTCCTCTAATCTTCTCCCTTGATCACCTCCCTCAACCCATGGATCGCCCAAGTATGCGTCAGAAGGTGGTTGGGAGAGAAAAGACGAATCCCTAGAACCGCGAGGTTCTAGGTTACCTTGATTATCCCCCTGTTCGTTCCTCGACATTGCTTCAGCCGTTCTTCTCTCTCGTTCTTTTCCTCTAGTCCACATATATCTTCCCACGAGTTACTGGAGAGTCGGTAAGGACGATCTCTGGTACTGTCACAGGGTTGCTTCTTCGTTAACTTCCTACGACCGACGGCCAATAACTTCGTGGGCTTCGACCTTTACCAACTTCGTTGTTCGAGATATGAAATAGGTGACAATAACTTCTGGGTGTAATAACTTCGTACTTTACTAACTTCTATCACTAAGACAACAACCAGAGATCGTCAAAGATCTCTGGGAACTTCGGCCCTTAAGTACTTCGTCCTTCCCTAACTTCGTCAACGCAGAACTTCGTTCAACCCGACGTCCCGAGCTTCGTACCTCACGAACTTCGTCCCCGACGAAGTTCGTGCCTTCCTAACTTCGTATCCTCCTAACTTCGTATCTCCCTAACTTCATATCTTCCTAACTTCGTATCCCCCTAAGTTCCTACATGACTAACTTCGTCCTCGACGAAGTTAGCCTCCTAATACCCTCGTGGGTGGTGAAGTTCATGCGAACTGGGTCGTTGATGGCGAACTGATGTCCAAAGGAACTTCGTTTGATGGGAAAGGATAATGTCACGCGGCGCCGCGTGACAACAAGCCCTAAGTTGAGTGTGACGTATGAGTGTGGCAATGCAAGGCAAAATCGAAAGTTGACAACTGCTCCTACACAAGCTGAAATGACTGGACGACCAGATTCAGCAGAACTATGCATTAACCATTCTCCAACCTAGCAATATATCAAAGTTAAGAATTGAAGAGATTGTTGGGGATGATGACTCATGGAAGGTCATCCTCCTGCTTCCTCTCCTTAGAAAGTCTCATGAGCCATCAGTTTATCAAAAGCGTCACAAAGTCGACTTGTCACGAAGTGACAAGACAGTTTGATAGTGATAGTGATAGGATGGGTTGGGTATTTAACCAGCGACCGGCGGTATGCAGTAACCGCCGGTTAATAGGCCTTTTAGCACAGTGGTTTAGACCGCTGCCTCTGAAGGGCACTGTTATATCGTCCCAATGCTGGTTAGTTGGTCTCGTGACAGATTAACCGGCGGTTACGGGTAGGATCCTGGGTTCGACTCCCAGGGTGGGCTGGGTCAAATTCAGTCCCTACTTGGAAAACCTCCCTCTCGGAGAAAGTTTTCGGCCTATCGTACCCTTCCCTGTTGGGGCCCCAGATGGGGCTGAAAGGGAAGGCATAATGTCACGAAGTGACAAGACAGTTTGATAGTGATAGTGATAGGATGGGTTGGGTATTTAACCAGCGACCGGCGGTATGCAGTAACCGCCGGTTAATAGGCCTTTTAGCACAGTGGTTTAGACCGCTGCCTCTGAAGGGCACTGTTATATCGTCCCAATGCTGGTTAGTTGGTCTCGTGACACGACTTGTACGCCAAACAAGTTCCTGACTTTCATCCATTTCAGTAATCTCATTCGTTTGAAGCTGAACATCCGATCGATACGCACCATTCAACCAACTTTCGATACCTTCCATCGAAATTTCCACATCACTCAGTATCATACCTGGGAATTGTAGATGTCCTGCTTTGTGCTCTTGATATATCTTCTCTGTCAAATCCTTGAGTTCACTTACACATCTCTGTTGATTATCCGACCATCTCAAATCACATCGAAGCGTATAACGCAGCCGACTAAGAGTTGGTTGATGGTAATACGTCCGAACCTGTTGTTCATCCTTCTTACTGAACCGCCATTTGGCGACAGCATCTTGATCGGGGGAGGGGAGGAGCGTGTCAGGTGGAAAGACAAGATTAACAACAGGAATATCTCCGGTGGTCATTTCAAGATCATGGGGGATTTCAGCAAGTACCACATGGGTATCAATAGTTTTGGTCAATGCCAGTCGAAGATTCCTGGCAAGGGTGGCGACGTGATTTCCTGCTAGAGAATCATGTCCATAGGTGCGTATCTGTAGGGAAGTTAAGGCTTGTTCTAAACCGCTAGCAGTGGAAATGTTCAGATGTTGGAGACTTGAAGTCAGAATTGTATGGAGACGGGTGATCTCTGCCGCTTGAGTAGAGAGTTCATTATCAATCATATTGCCGAGATCGCCACTGCAGATCTGGGCCACTATGGTTATGTCATAGTCTAAAGAACAGTTGGGGTCGATGGTATAGTATATACTACCTTGTTGTGACATGGTACTTACTCGCGAGTTTTGGCGATGGGAGACTTGATCTAGTAATTTACGTTGAGAAGGTAGAGGAAGGATAGTGAAATGACTAAATAGTGAGGACGAGGTGGGGTCTGAGATGTAACGCATGAACTATACTCCGTTTCAATTATTATCTCCTACAAGTGTTTTGGGACTGCTAGGACTGCTCATATTTGCACGTCTGTCGTCATCGAAACGTCTCAAATTGGACAAAGGTGGGACCTCTTTGCACACCCGCCATAGCCACATGCCACATTCGGATTGAGTGCCACATTGGCCGACAACAAGTCTGTATTACATCCATAGATCCATAGACCTCTTCCCAACCAGCAAACCAACCAACATAATTACCTGTCACTTGTCACCAGCGTGTCTTACTCATAATCATCTACCAAGTCTCCTTTTTGTCCCCTGTCGTCTTGCCTTCACTGTCGATTCCGAATCAAATACCGTCCACCGTAAACGTGCCCGGACCGGGGTGGAGGAGTGATCGTCAGTCCGAGCGCAGTCCTATCCCCTTGACGACGCACAGACCCTCTTCTCTTTCGCGCCTAGCATTGAATCTTCTAAGAATATGACGAGCGAGCCTAACTCTGCGTCCTGGCTCGATGACGACGAAGGTGGAGAAGTAGATTTGAGAAAAGAATTTGCTGCTTCAGATTCTACAAATAATATCAAAGGTCAGTCAAACATTACTCTTCTGACATCTTCTTCACCTTTTTGACTTCTCTCTCGAAGAATTTACTCAAAGAAAAACCAATTTTTTCCACCATCAATAGGTTCGTGCAGTGATGTCGGACTTTTCTCAGGGGTCTCCTAGTGGCGGGATGGAATGTGTCTGATGGACTTCATCATACGGACAAGTCTCACAACTGTCATCTTTGAATTATTATTGAATCATCATGTCGTTGGAGAAAGTGTTGACGTCAGAAGCTATCACTAGTGTCCCTTCATTGGCGTCGAGATTAGGAGGATTTGCCATAGACCCTTCAGATCCATCCGGTGAAGTCGCGAAACAACAACCAATACCTGTTCCTACCACAACACCTCCCTCCCGTCCTCGACCAGAAACCAGCAATAATTTATTCGGCAAAGCTCTAGCTGGAGTCAAGTCTGACAGGGCTCCTGAACCAATCTCTACTGTACCAGCTCCTTTACCTCAACCTCCGGTAGAACCAAAGGGAGACAGAATGAGAAGCCAGCATGATGATGATGGTAGGTCATTCTTGTGCCTTGACCTCGTCATTCAACTCGCCATTGACTGTTCGATTCGTATAGTATCGAGAGTTTGTGCTCTCGCAAGGTGGACGAAAATCGACAGATTGACTGACGGATAGGTTGGGGCGGACCGCCTACAACTCAGCATTTCACAAATGGACAGACCAATGGCAATAATGGACATCTTCAACCACAAGACGGTCCCCAAGATGAACAGTCCGACGCTGGGATGTCCGCGGATACCGGTTTAATCAGTAACGATTTCCAAGTGGAGGTTAAGTTGGTGGATCAGCAGGCTGATCCGAACTCGCCTTTGTACTCTGTCAAGTCTTTTGAGGCGTTACCTCTGTGAGTCTGCGCTCATCTCATCTCCTCAACTGTATTCTCATTTCCAACATTACTCGCGTGAGTGACAAGTGCACTAACCACTAGGCACGAAGATTTGCTTAAGGGAATTTACGCTTGCGGCTTTAAGAAACCTTCCAAAATACAAGAAAAGGCTCTGCCTCTGCTGCTCAACAATCCGTAAGCTCGACTGAGATTTGTGGTCATTGAGTTGATCAAGAGCCCTCGTAATCTGATCGGTCAAAGTCAGTCAGGTACTGGGAAAACGGCAGCTTTTACTCTCAACATGTTATCCCGTGTGGATCCTTCGAATGCCACACCTCAAGTGAGTTTTCATTTGCCCTTCACTATCTTCCTACTCAACTCACCCATATTGATATCAGGTTCTGAGCGTATCATGAGACAAAGATAGGGAGGGCTAGGCTGATGACTAGGCCTTATGTCTTTGCCCCTCTCGTGAACTCGCTCGTCAGACTCAGGAAGTGGTCGAAAAACTAGGACAGTTCACACCTATCAAATCCGCTCTCGCTGTGCCGGGCTCGTGGCGGCGTGGAGAGAAAATCCAGGCTCAGATTCTTATCGGGACCCCCGGGACCTTGACTGACATGTTGAGTAGGGGCACCAGGATATTCGATCCGAAAGAGATCCGAGTGCTCGTTTTGGACGAAGCGGACGAAATGCTGGCTTTGCAGGGCTTGGGTGATCAAACTTCTCGTATCAAGAGGTGAGTCGTACTGTATCTCGTTTATCATGAATTGCAGCTTCATCTGCCCATCTTCAACTTACACAGAAAGTATCACATCTGCCCTTTCCTGGGGACTGAGTAAAGACCGTGGACAAGTGGTAGTGAATAGTCTCGGAGGAGAGACTGACGTACAAGAATGCTCCCTGCTGGTATCCAGAATGTTCTCTTTTCCGCTACCTTTCCCGATGCTGTCCAACGATTCGCGGAAAGTTTCGCCCCGGAAGCCAACAAGATATTCCTGCGTAAAGAAGAAGTCACCGTGGAGGCTATCAAACAGCTGTATTTGGAATGCGACGGGGAAGAACAGAAATACAACGCTCTCGCTGCATTGTATGATTGTATGACCATTGGACAGAGTATCGTATTTTGCAAGGTCAGTCTAGCCCTCATCTCCTGTCCCTTTCCCATATCAACTCTACATTTTGATCACTCCGTGTAACCAGATACCTCTGCCTTTTTTGACACCTTTCCTGTTCATCCAGTTCACTTTCTCTCCAGGTCGGAAGTGCTAACAGATAGCGCAAAGCGGTCGCCGACAGAATCACCCAACGTCTCCAAGAGGAAGGTCATCAAGTGGCTTCTCTTCACGGGGACAAACAAAACCAAGAACGTGATCAGATCTTGGATAGTTTCAGAAATGGAGAAACTAAAGTGCTCATCACTACAAATGTCGTAGCTAGGGGTATAGACATTCAACAAGTTAACATGGTGGTGAACTATGATGTGCCGGATCTAGGTCCGGAGGGTAATTTCGAACCTGATATCGAGACGTATATCCATCGTATCGGTGGGTTTACCTTGACTGGTCATCTTCATGTCCCAGACCCACCATTTTGTTTCCGAACTTGTCATCTACATTTACCCACACTCTTTTCTCCCGGAGTTGGACTATACGTCAGATCATCTCAATTTGAAAATATGAGACCGTCTCATCTGTATTCGATTTCCATCTTAGACATGGAGAAGTATCATAGCGAAGAGTCTTTCTCGATATCTACCTCAGACTTCGAATCCTCCCATGAACAAATTGAGATCTTGTCTCAGGAGTAATGTGGCTGACGTCTACAGGTCGAACGGGCAGATTCGGACGTAAAGGTTGTGCGGTCATTTTCGTCCATGATGAAAGATCTCGTCGAGAAGTAGCTACCATCCAAGATGCTCTCGGAAAGTCTATGAGACGTATAGACGCTACGAGTACGACAGATTTGGAACAATTGGAAGAAGCTTTGAAAATCGCCATGAAGTCTGTCAATTGATCCCCCGATCTTTGACCTTTCCATGTATGGAACGAGAATTTGGTCAACATCTGACCAGGTCAATCATGTAATGGGAACGTGGTGAATATGAAGAGATCTCATGATGAAGGTTTATAATCGAAAGAAGTGAAGAGTTTATATGAATAGAGAGATGAGGAAGAGATTTACAGTGATTCAATGATCAATATCAACTGCATCGTTACATGTATAACATTACTGCTGCATGGCCTCTCACTGTACACCTTGATTCATTCACTGTGTAATGTCACTCGTTCCTTTACGGGTCATTGAGCGCTGACTAGTAATTAGTGAGTGACTTTTGTTGGTGGTTGGAGGACTGCTTAAGAGCACACGAGCAAGCAGTCGGTTCACGCACAATACACCATGCACTTCGTACCATGCATTCATCATTGGGTATATACATATGCGGGGATATCTCTCCACAGGGTATTCAAAAGCTGACCAAGTATTTTATAAGACAAGACGCTTCATGACAGAAGAACAAAGGAAAGATTATTAACAATTTTATTTTTGGTACCTAGTGTAAAGTCGAGACGAGGAAATGTATGAGGGATGATTAAGCTTTTGTACCTTTAACATTTTGAGAAAGCCATTGTAACCCTTCGAATAATCCTTCGCCTGTTGTTGCGCAACTGCAAAAGTCAGCATGGGATATGTACCTCTACCTCTTGTTCCGATACTACAGTGTCTGATGACTTTCAAAACAAACGCGGCAATGGGGACGAGGCATATTCCACAAGCAAGGAATGTTCGTCAAGAAGTTGAGCGGTGCAAATGCAGTAGTTGGGGTTCAGGATAGAAAACAATTGAAGATTATCTGATGAATATGATATGATGTGAATGGAAGAGGGCAGATCACTCACCTAGGATGTACATACCACGATCGATCTCTCATTTTGTGTAACCCCAGCTTCTCTGTAACTTCCGCGGGTGACATGGCTAGAAGCGTTAGGCGTTTTCCAATTTTAATCTTGACAACGGTCAAAGATGGCATGAAGTCCTCAAGCACTTCCGGAGGATATGTAGAGGAAGGAGAATGAGGTCTAGTAGACTGGGAAGACCATGGAGCGATGGGCGACGGCAATAAACCGGTTGACAAAAGAAAACTCACCACCTGGTAAATCCTGTTTATTGGCAAAAACCATCAAAAGACATTCCCGCATTTCTCTATCTGCCAGAATACGTTCCAACTCTTGTCGAGCTTCGTCTATCCGTTCTCTATCGGCGGAATCAATGACGAAGATGAGACCCTGAACGTCAGTCCTTTGCACATTTCCCACCAGCGGCTTTTCACCCCTAGTATTTTGGTTGCCTTCGAGACGTTCAAGACTGTCCAAGAGAGAGAGATGTCAAGAGAGAGAGTAATTCGGAAGAGAGGTGTACATTGGAAGTTTTAAAACTCACCTGAGTACCTGTGTAATAATGTCTCCATAAAGGCCTGATCTTATCTTGACCACCTACATCCCAAACGTTGAATTTGACATTTTTATATGTGACCGTCTCGACGTTGAATCCTACAGTGGGGATTGTGGTAACTGATTGATTGAGTTTGAGCTTGTAGAGGATAGCTATGGGTCAGTAATTGACGTTAAAGACTACATTCCTCTGATCCTCTTTATCCTCCATATATTCCTCCTTAGGCGAATCAATCCACTTGTGCACCTGTCCAGAATAAATACAGACAGAGGGATAGGGATGGAGTCGGAGAGAGGATAAACTCACTCGTCTTGCCAGCAGCATCAAGACCAAGCATCAAAATCCTCATTTCTCTATTCCCAAACAACTTGCCTTTGGTCCATCAGTCCATGAACTTTATAAGCTAAAGGGGAAGGAAACTCACTCAACGCTTTACTTACTGATCCTCCCATGGTGTCAAATTCAAGGTGTTCGCTTGATTACTTTATCTGTCGTGTGAATGAGTGACGAGTCGAGATCTGTATACTTCTGACTAAAGTCACAGGATCGATGAGGCGCGTTGAGGGAGCGACAGACGAGATGAGGAGAGATGATTATAATGTCTGGAGAACTCTACGGGGTAATCGGCCAGTGGTGAAGAGTCGATCACGATGATAGGCGGGAGAAAAGAATAAGTGAGGAGAAAAGTAGGATGTGAGAGAGGATGAAACAAGTTTAAAAGTGAGGAATGTGAGGGGAAGGGACCGTATGAGCGACAAAGAGAGAAAGAGACAGAGCACAGACCGCGATATGCGCGCGCTTGGACCTCTCTACCTTAACTCGAACATTACGTAATGTCATGGGTTACTCGATCGGTTCCTTCTTGACTCGTCCCTCCACTCTACTCTATCCACAACAAATCTCGTCTTCAGCAACCAGTACGTGGCTACTACAGGACGGTCTCGCACAAGATGGCAGCACCCGATATGACACCTGTCCCGTGAGTTCTACTCGTATACTAGAGGCGGTGACAAAGGTAGCTCATCAGAAGCATGCACATCCCCGCCATCCTTCAAAATCCCGTCAATGCCAGCTTGAGGCAGGTCGAAGCTCACAATGCACAGCAGAAGCAGAAGTCGGTCGCTAGACGAGAAGCCAGAGAAGAGGTAAAGGCGTCTGGTTCTACCAGGGGGAAGCGATATATCAGAAGGAAAGAAAATGGTAGGTCCCTCCAATACTTCAACATCTATTCCGTCGTCGTCCGCAGCTCCCACTCCTCAATCTACTTTCACTATGGTCTCACCGCCATAAAAATGTCAGGTCGGAAAGGTAAGGTAAATGATACTGAGTTGATACATCAGCCGTCTTTTCTTCAAATCCCCATATCGTAGCTCCTAAACGATCTGACTGTTTCCCTCCTGTACCACTCCAAGCTCACAACTATCGCGTATCACCCTTTCCTTATTTACCTCGTTCCGAACCTGTTCCTTCTCCGGGTTATGATCACAACTCTGATCCTCGAAACTCTCTACACGGAGCATTCAGTACCTCGCTTAAGGGTACCCGCCAGATGCTACGCAAGCGAGGTAGAAGGGCTGAGCAGTTAGTCAATGTAGCGGAGAAGGAGCTCAGAGGGTGGCTTGGGGGTTCATGGCTTCTTCATCCTGAAGAGGCAAGTTGGAGGGTGATTGATCCTTACGTCTCTTTTGGTGACGCAATAGTCCGAGACGAACTTACCGAAGAGGCGAACGAGGGAGAGGGAGAACAGCTCCACAGGGTGGAGGGAGGAGGGAAGATGGATAGAAGAATGCCTTTGCAATATCGACTTGGAGGGCGGATACCGAACTTACCTCGAATAAAGGAGAGAGTAGCTGTTATGGAGCTTTCTAGATCACCCGTGCATCTTACTTGGGCGGTAAAGGATGGATTTGAGAGATTAGTGCTTCATTTGCTTTGCAGGTATTATGGCCTAGTCACTTGGAGTGAGTCATTCATCCTGCCCTTGCCCTATCATCAAAACCGCCAATATCCCTGCCTCTATATTTCTGCCTCTCTGACTTTTTCACGGATCTATCGATGTCCGATCCGCTGGGACATACTGACAGAGACCAGCAAATGAGACACCGCGATCCGAGACTCTGGAAAAGGATATGACTGATCTTCAGGTGAAGATCATGTAACCCACACAGGCGAATCAGTCCGTCTGACCCATATAATCCGTCCCACTCTTGCACGTTCGTCCAATCAAGCGTCCGTTCCTTCGTTATCACTCGATACTCCTTACGATTCCGAAACCGGTGTGTCATCACAGACATTGGTGAGTGACTCGGGTACCGGTACTGCAGTCATCTCCGACTCAGATCTCTCGGATTCCGAAGCGGATTTTGACTCCGTGCGTGGTTATTCTCTGGATGATCCCCCAGATCCTGAGGTGAGAGTTGAGGTCGTAGAGGAGCCTAGTGTGGTGAGGAGAATCCCATTGGTCAGAGTCCTGTCGGACACTTCGTCCCAGTACGGAGGATCAGAATGGGGATCAGAGTATAGTGGGATGGGAGATAGTCTTATTTTACCCACACCTACACCCACTTCTGTCAGTAGATCAGATCCGTCGGATACGTCGGGATACCCTCCTGCAGTCAATGTGGTGGAGGAAGACATCTCACCCGCTGTGATGAGGGAGATCCCTACGGTGACTAGGCGGAGTATGAACGCAATTCCGATGGGATGGGAGGATAGACCGACATTTTTTGATTATCTATATGGGGGATATTAGCTACGATTGAACCATGTGATTTACATGCATGAATCTGTGTTCCATCTTTACACCAAAGGCATTTGTACACTTTGGACATTTTACAGATCGATCACACTTCTGGTCAAGATGGGCGGAGGGAAGATGGGAGGTGACAGGTTGTATTACAGCATTGAAAGCTGAGCGTGTTGAAATGATTAAGAAAGTCGAGTGATGGCTTTCCTATCTAGTGGAGTACCTAAATATCAGTCTCAGAACTTGAAACACCACGGTTGATTGACTTACCATCGGGGGCTATACCGTTCTTTGCGAGAATACGATTGTGTCTTATTAATCGAGCTTGGTCGAAAGTACATCTTTCCAAAGCCCTACGAGTCAATCTTTGCCACCCTCCCCTGTGAGACCAAACATTTCATAAACAGTATAGAGTGGGGCAAGATGGAGAGAGGAGCATAATTCCCTAAGAGGAAAGTGATGCAAATCAAACTTTTCAAGAGGGAAACGTGTCCGTCTAAACTGTTGAATCACACGGTGGGAGACGGAATGGAGTGATGAGGAAGAAGATGAAGAAGTACCCACATGATCCGCCTGACTTCTTCAACACCAGCTTCATCCAAACCCAATCGACTCTCTGAACTACCCTCTGCGAGATTATCACGTTCGATATCAAAGTTGCCACTTGTCAAACCTGCCGCTGCTTGTTCGGAAAATGCGTAACTTTGCAAAGGTGTGTAGTGAGATAAACGAGCGACCAGATTGTCGGGAAGGTAGGGTGCGAGGAAAGTTAAAAGTCGACGACGGGAGTAATAGATTACTATTGAGTCAACTTCGCTGTTCTCCTCGCCTGTGGAGACATTTCCAAATTCTTCATGTCTCCCATTACGAATCAGTCTTTCATAGATGTGTTTTAACTCCAGTAAGCACGTTGCTAAGGGAACAGCTATGGATAAGAAGAACGATTCAAGAGAGGATGGACTGCTTTTGACTGAAGGCATGTGGAGGAAAGGGAGAGAAACTCACAAAAGAGGATAACACAGATCACCGACAAAGCTGAGATATGGAATAACATGTTGTTTCTTTCAATTGGATGTCGCCCTTCGTCCTATCTATAGGTCGAATCCCTCTGAACTTTCGTGTATATGGAGACGACGATGTGACAAGTTGAGAAAGAAAGGAAAGAAAGCAGAGAGAGCTGCGGTGGTGGAAGTAAACTGCGGGGTTAAACTCAAATCACGTGACCTATATCCGCCCTCCGCAAAAATCTTGTTCGCCAAACCCAAACCACTAATCTTCAGCTTGACAATCAACAATGTCAGGGCAAACACTCTCACAACAACTCAAATTACTCCATTCAGAGACTCTTGGACAAGAGGATCAGGTCGACGTGGACGAGACTGCCGATTTAGATGGATTGGTGAATGATGGAGAGAGCAGGAGGGAACATTATGTCGATGTCGGACCTTCCAAGTTACGTGCTGAGGTATCGCAGACGTTGCTGGGGGCAAGGTATGCGGGGAAGAAGGCTAGCAGGGTGAGGATATTCGATGATGATGATGATGAAGAAGAGAAGGGAGATGACGATGTGGAGGACGGTGAAGAAGAAGAAGAAGGGTCAGGGGATGAACAAGAGGACGAGGAGGAAGATGACGAAAATGCAGAAGATGATGATGACGAGGGCTTTGATGAAGACGAAGATAACGAAGAAGATAGTGAAGGGGAGGATGATGGTGATGAGGAAAACGAAGAAGATGAGGAGGAGGATGTGGAAGAGGAAGGAAAAGCCAGGAAACAACTTGATCCTATCGCTTCCCTTCGGGAATCACGTTTGAAGGATATCGAGAAAGGTCGAGGCATACGACGGCAAAAGGTGAGTATCATCACTTGCCTGTGGAGTTTAATCACTAATGTAATAAGGCACTCTTTGACCAGCTCATCACACTTCGTATCACCTTACAAAAAGCCTTTTCATCCGCTTACAAACTCCCGTCCTCCCTGTCAACTTCCACCGACGAAGAGGTGAAATTCAAACGGGATGAAGCCTTGGAAGGTCTGATAAATCTCAGCGAGGATTTGTTCACTATAAGGGAGAAACTTTCACTACCAGGTGCTGAAGTTCCAAATTTGGGCAAGCGGAAGAGAGACGAAGAATATTGGTTTGATGCAGCTCGACAATCCTTGTCTCTTTCTCATTCGTCAGCTCTCTTTTCACACGCCGTTCATGGAGCTAATCTACAGAGCTCACCCACATGTAGTGCCCATCCTGTCGAAATGGGCTACGAAGATACATGCTGCTTCTCAAGGATTGAAAGTGAACAAGTTCAGCCAGTCATCTACTGCAGATGTGTTCGAAGTTATTGATGCCGGCTTAGCTGCGAAGGTCAGTCCATTTCGAATCCTGAGACTGAGAATCAGATAAATGTGAGAATTACATAACTGATAGACAGAGAGAATCTGAGCAAACTTTTGAAGAAGGTGAAGAGTGGGGATATAGGGCGTTATTGAGAGAAGTTATAGATAGTCGGCAAGGCGGAGGAGAGGGTTTATCAATGTTACGGAAAGAGAAGAAGAAAAAGCGAGAAGCAGATCGTGGAGGGAGTAAAGGTAGAAAATTGAGGTGAGTACATACTTGTCCTGGTGTTCATATTATCATGCTTTGACGTCTACTGGATTTCGGATGTGGGAATATAAGCAGGTGGACTTCTGCAGAAGGGAAGCGGGAAGAGGTATGATTGCTAATGAAACAGGTATACCGTTCATGAAAAAGCTCAGAATTTCGTGGTGCCTATACCACTTTCCAGGGCATGGCACGAGGAACAAATCGAAGAGCTTTTCTCAAGTCTGTTCGGCGGAGCAGGATTGAAAGGTGCGGTATCTCGAGCCAATCCTGTTACTCAGGGGAATGATGAAGGTGTGGCGAATTTAGGAGGGTTGAGAGTATTTTGATCTTTCATAGACATCATTTTTACATCTTAGCTCTTACTGGACCTACTCAGCAAGAGAGCAGCTGATTTTCTGTCATCAGTTTGTACATAGTTGTATTCTAAGCATTGCATTGACATCCATGTCTATCTCATCATGCCAGTATCCCGGTGCCACACTGCACCATGCATCACCATGTATTGTCATAGTCAGAGTCAGAGTTAAGTTAGTGAGTGATGCGATCGAAAGTCGCGTGGCATCGGATCCGAAAAGTTGGAAAAGTTGTCCCTTCTCCATTCCTTGACCCTCTCCTCCCTACTCACCGTTTTTTTCTCTCCACTCCTTGAAAACGTCCCTCCAGCTACCACCATCTTGAGGCACATAAAGAGGTATTCTTGATGTCTATCGAAGATCATCTTGATGAGCTGCTGAGTGGAGTCCCTTCCGCTGACCCACAAGTCGATAACGCCTGGCTTGAGCTTCTCAAAGGATGGGAGAGGTGAGCTACCTCTAAATACAACCCATCTCAACTGACATCAGCCAAAACCACGATGGTCCACCTCAAGTAGGATTCAGTGGGACCGCTTTTCTTGCTGAACCTCTTCCTAGCATCTTGGATTACCTACCTTCTTCCTCCAAACAAAGTCCACCTAATGGCAAAGTTCTTGGACCGTCGGGCTATGTCACCCCCGATGACTTACCTGGGACGTCTACAACTCTGCTTGAGCGACTGCAAAGGTATGTCATATTTTGCTTCAGCCTTGCGAGTTTTGAGGGAATTAATGGAATGTTAGACATCTATCAGTGACCAGCACATACAACGCTTTGGTAGCTCTCTTATCGTCAAAACAATCAGATGAGGATATCCAATCTGAGCTCGTGGAGATTTTGGGTTTTGAAGGGGACGGGTTATCCCTAGTGGAGGAAATACTGAAACCTGGTGTTCGTGAAAGTTTGGTGAGCCAAACGTTCGGATCTCAAATCGTACGTTGGTCTTATCCCCCCTTGACTCCTTCTAAGGTTTCATGCGAGAATCATTGACAGAGCTGGACTGACTTATATAGAAAGACAAAACTAATGGCCGATCTGGACCGACGTATAATCCAACGACAAGGATGACCCTCAGTGCACAACCCAGAGGGAAAAAAGAAAAGAAGAAACATGTGGACATATCTGATATTGTTGGATCTGCGGCAGATATCGAGAGGAGGTTACAGGAACAATTAGAGAAACCTAAACCTATGTTCTCTGATGGACCTGCTGTCAGCTTCCACACTCTCTTCGTCCCCAAGAAAGAGGCAGCTGATGGTGTAGCGTGTAGTGGAAAAAGAGAAATTACCTCACGTTTACGCTTCTACCACTACGGCGGGAGTTCAAATCTCTATGGGGGGACAATTTTCATTACCTGCAGGTACCACAAGAGAGCTCAATGATGTGAGTTCCTCTCCTCTGCTCTCGTGCCCTTCCCGTCATTCCCAGGTATCCTTGCTCCCTTCGAAAGCATCGATAAGATGTAGCATCGATGTGGGTCGACATTGATCGACAGACATATGAAGAAGTTGTGGTACCTCCGAACAAACCCATACCTCCCAGAGGATCCGAGAGACCAGTCCGGATTAACGAACTTCCCCCTTTGGCCAAAGGTTGTTTCCCGGTGAGTCTCGGCAAGGCAAGTATGTGATGAGTCGGCACCAGCTCACCGAATAGAGTTATGTATCACTGAATAGAATGCAGAGCATAATACAACCTACAGCTATGAATACCAATGAAAATTTGCTCATTTGCGGTAAGTCCGCTCTGCTCATGCTGGTCAATAGCTGATACGCAGCTCCGACCGGTGCCGTACGTTCATTCACTGAGATGGAGCATGCACTTTGGCTGATTGCAGGGTAAAACTGATATCGCCATCATGTCTATCATCCGTGTACTACAATCACACCTACTTGAAACTCCTCAAGGGCGCCCTCACCCATCCGGCTTCAATCTGGATTTGTCTGTATTCAAGATCATCTACGTCGCCCCGATGAAGGCTCTCGCTTCTGAAATAACACGGAAATTTGGCAAACGACTAGCATGGTTAGGTGTGAAAGTTCGCGAGTTGACTGGAGATATGCAAATGACGAGACAAGAGATAGCGGAGACTCAGGTCATAGTGACTACTCCAGAGAAATGGGATGTGGTCACGCGGAAACCGACAGGAGAGGGTGAACTGGCAAGTGTGAGTGAATAGCCAGTTTGCACATACACGTCTCAACATTGCAAAGCAGAACAGTCAGGGGTAAGAGCTGACTGTCAGCGAGTGAAGCTTCTCATCATTGATGAAGTCCACCTCTTGAATGAAGAACGAGGTGCGGTCATAGAGAGTATCGTAGCTCGGACACTCCGACAAGTGAGACCGACGTCCCCAGCTACTGATTGGAGCTGAGGAGACAGGTCGAATCAAGCCAGTCGGTCATACGTATTGTCGGTCTCAGTGCGACTTTGCCCAACTATATTGATGTTGGTGACTTTCTCAGGTGAATTCAACGAACCCTCGTGGATCACGCTTGCTGAAAGATAGGGTTAATCGTTATACTGGTCTTTTCTTCTTTGACGCTTCTTTTCGTCCTGTGCCCCTTGAGCAGCACTTCATTGGCGTGACCGGAAAACCTAGATCTCTGCAGTCAATCAAGAACACCGATCAGGTGGTGTTTGATAAGGTGCGTCTTTCTTTCCGCAGTACTTTTGTCTTTTCAACACCACAACCCTAAGATTTTGTGTTGTCGGGCACATTTGCTGACTGTCAGGTCTCACAACTTGTGGAACACGGTCATCAAGTCATGGTCTTCGTTCATGCTCGTAAAGAGACGGTTAAAGCAGCCGAATCTTTACGCGAGATGTCGAAAGAAGAAGCCATGGTGTCATTCTTTGAATGCATAGATCATCCGAAATTTGAATTCTACCGTCGAGAGATCGCGACATCGCGAAATAAGGAGATGAAAGATCTCTTCAATGCCGGCTTCGGTATACATCATGCAGGAATGTTGAGATCGGATAGGAATATGATGGAACGTATGTTCGAAGATGGTGCTATCAAGGTAAGTCTTATCTCTCGAGCTCACTGACTCTCAATTCGCGCCGGGGAGCGCTCACGAACATAGGTCCTTTGCTGTACATCGACACTTGCTTGGGGAGTCAACTTACCGGCTCATGCCGTCGTCATCAAAGGCACTCAGGTATACGATAGTAGTAAAGGTTCGTTTGTCGATCTCAGCGTGTTAGACGTTCTCCAGGTATGTGTGTTCCCTCATAGTCATAGATGTATCTGATGACAGATATTCGGTCGAGCAGGTAGACCTGGGTATGAGACATCTGGGGTGGGGTATATCTGTACTACTCAGGACAAGCTGGATCATTATCTTCGTAATATCATGTCTCAGGTGAGCTGTACCCCGAACTTGTTGGCTGCAGCTGACATGGCAGCTGCCTATCGAGTCCAAGTGCGTCAAAGCGGCTAAATGTGCGAAGGGCAACACTGACTGGATAGATTCATCGGTGGTATGGTGGATTCACTCAATGCGGAGATATCCCTTGGGACGATCGCAAACGTGCAAGAAGCCATTCAATGGCTAGGCTACACCTATCTTTTCGGTACGTCTCATTCCTACTTGACCTGCCATCCATGAACGGTGTCTGATTCGGGTGCGGGTGTCGAACGAAAATGTTGGTATGTGCCATGCTGAGTTGCAGTTCGTATGAAACGCGAGCCTTTCGTGTATGGTATGCCCCATGATGAAGGCAAAGATGATCCGCAACTGGGAAACAAGCGGAACGAGTTGATCATCCAAGCTGCTCGAAGATTGTCCGAGGCACGGATGATCCGGTTTGATGAAATGGCTGGTGCTTTGGCTATTACGGATCTTGGTAGGATAGCTGCCAAATACTATCTGAAGCATTCCACGGTTGAAGTATTCAGTGAGTTTATCCTGTTAAAGATGCTTTTGCTCATGTCAGATGGTTTGTTCAAGCCTGAGATGAAGAATGCCGATTTGTTTGACATGCTGTGTCAAGCTACTGAAGTGGGTTTTTTTTTCTGTCGGCAGCAGTATCATCACTGAGCAACAGTTCGATCAAATACAAGTGCGAGAAAGTGAGCAAGAGGAGCTACAGGCAATCGTGGAAAGTGCACATCGAGTTTTGGAGGTTCGTGGTGGTCCTAGTGATCGACATGGAAAAGTTAACATCCTGTATGTCATTAACTATCCTTCCGTGATGTTGTGTTGACTGGCAGACTACAAGCTCATATTTCACGAGTCTATCTTGAAGACTTTGCCCTTGTCTCAGATAGTGCATACATTGCTCAAGTAAGTAGATCTCTCATATGAGACGAGCCATTCTGATTGAGGCAGAACGCCGCCCGTATTATCAGAGCCCTGATCGAGTGGGCTTTCAGTCGTGATTGGGCAAACAACGTTCACCACCTTATAAACCTCAGCAAATCTATCGAAAAGCGTTCATGGCCATTCGCTCTCGTTCTCAATCAATTTCAACTGAAAGATGAGACGTTGTATCATATCATCCAGTACGCCGAAGATGTTCCCGTGGAAGATCTCCGTTCCATGTCTGCTAGAGAGATTGGAGATATGATCAAGTTGAACGAAGCCAACGGTCGAGCTGTCCTCGATGCTGCTTGGGCTTTACCAACGGTTGAGACTTCTTACTCTCTTCGTCCTTTGGCACATGATTTACTGAAGATACAAGTCATCGTCCGACCTAACTTCAGATGGAACGCTCGATTATCCGCTACTGCGGAACCGTTTTACGTATGGATCGAAGATTCAACTGGACTTGAAATGCTTCAATGGCGCAGTATCAAACTTCGACCTTCGACCACCTCATTAGAGTTGGAATTTATCATTCCATTCACCGACGATCTACCCGAAAGCATAACTATCGTGTCTACTTCAGACCGATGGTTTGGTTCCGATAGTCAAGTGGTTGTACCGCTTATCGATCTTGTCATGCCCACCCCGGTCGATGAACCCACCCCTGTTTTGGATGTACCGTTCTTGCAAATATCATGTTTGGATGATTACAACCTCGAACATGCTTATAGGTCGTATATGACGACCTTGACGAGTATTCAAACACAGGCATTTTGGAGTTTTTATCATACACAGAAGAATGTGTTTTTATCGGCACCAGTAGGCAGCGGGAAGTCATTTTTGGGAGAAGTGGCGATATGGTGAGTCACTTTACTGTTTGCGTGATTCCCATTGATCGGTAGGCATGCTTTTAGACATAATCGCGATGCTGTGGTACTCCTGATTCTCCCTCAAAAGGAGGCGGTAAAGGAAGTGACAGCCAGACTTCGTAGACTTTGTCCCCGAGCCAAAGATATACAGGTAAACACGATTCTTGGTCCTCATGACGTCGACTCTTTCTCAACTTCCGAGCGCACGATTGCTATTGCTACACCTTCGGCACTCCTGGCGGCGGAACCGAAAGTGTTACAAAAGTCTCTCATGAAATTGTCCCTGACGGTTTTTGACGATCTCCACCTTCTCAACCCTTCTTACGAACTTATCATCACCAAAATACTCTCCCTCGCCAAACCAGCTCGTACTCGACTGATCGGTCTCTCCTCTTCTCTAATTGACCCTACGTCTTTAGCAGATTGGTTGAGTGTCGACACTGCATTTAGGTTCAATTTTCTCCCCCGTGACCGTGGGATATCTCTTTCGGTCCATACCAAGACTTTCACCATCCCTCATTCGACCACGTTACTCAAAACGATGGTCAAACCGACATACGATATCCTCAAATCTTCACCTGGACAAGCTATCATCTTCATCCCTTCCCGTCCCATGTGTCGTGTCATAGCGACGGATCTAGTCAGACAATCCGGTACAGAGATGGATCTCAACGGTTTTCTTTCCGTCCCTCGTGAAGCTGTCGAACCTTACGCTCAACGAATACGAGACACCAATCTGTACGAACCTCTTTTACATGGGATAGGATATGTCATACCTGATATGTCAGGGAAAGACTTGGAAATGGTTTTTGAACTTTTCGTCAGTGGATTGATCAAAGCTTTGTTGGTTCCACGTGAAATGGCATGGAAACTTCCTGTAAGAAGTACGGTTGTGATCCTCCTCAGTGCTCAATATGTGGAATACGACCGAATTTCAAACGAACAAAGAGTGGTCAATTATTCTCCTGTGGAATTGGTCAAAATGCAAGGTCACGCGATTCCTTCTCCTTTCCCTATGTCAACGATTACAAACGGGATTATCAGTGGGGGAGAAAGTAAAATGTTCATTATGTGTCAACAAGAACAATCTTTATTTATCAATCGTATCCTCTCTTCTGGTCTTCCACTAGAATCATTTATTCCATCTTTGTTAAAAGGTGAGCGATCGGAAAGTGAAGAAACAGAATTGAAGAATTTACTCAAACCTCGTCCACCACCTTTGAGAGTTCAAGCGAATTTATCAAAGAGGATAGATTTAAGAAAAAGAGATATGATGGATTTATTGGGTTGGACATATCTTGCTGATAGGATAAAAGCTAATCCGAGTTATTATGATGTGGGAAATGGAGAACCAGAGAGGGTGGTGAGTGATTGGATTGATAGATGGTTTGTCATCCGGAGAGCGAAAGGGGAAGAGGGGGATGGGATGACTAGTTCTGGAAGTGGAGGGAAGGGGAAGGGGAAAGGGAATGGGAAGATTAATGGGGGTGAAGGGAAAGAGAATGGGATGACAAGTGAACAGACTTCGGAGGAAATTGATGATGTAGAGGATAGTGAGATGGATGTGACGGTGGAAGATAGAGATCATGATGATAGTGGGATTGGTACTTGAGCTTCTTAGTTCGAACGACCTGAGATGTCATACTTTCAAGCTCCCATTACATATAGGGCTCGTATTATATTCAGCATGATAATATAGCATAAACATCATTCATCCATGCATCATGCATCATGCACAGGTACTAGGTACTCCCTCTCCAGCCGAATTCACGTATAAGATCCTCCGCCGTCACTGTGCACGTATTTCTTCCCGATCACCGGCAATGACCAACGCCAATTGCCGAAGATGACCATAACCGTAAAACCCGACCAACATCACTTCAAACGTCTCCTTGACATCTAATTCAACCTTGAGCCAGTATACCCAACGATTTCTCATCAGCTTCATAGGACTAAACAGACTTCAATAGGATTATCATAATGTCAGACCTCAAAGAATCAGGTTTCAAGGTATTTCCACTGCTTTCTTTCAAATGAGCTTCAATTGACGCGTAGACGAGCGAAGTGCTTTCCGTGAGCTCATCCTCGGCCCTCTACATACTCCAGCCAGCTCATATCATCACTCCTTTCTTGACCGTCAATCAAATGATCTAGTCTCAATCTACACGATCACAAAAGCAACAATAATCAATTCTTCACCGACATTCTTACAAATCCCGTTGGATCATGTCTCATACTGGGGCCGTTTGGGGGATTGAGTAACTACTGGAGGAAGATCAACGAGAGAATTTAGCTGAACGATAAGACTCTAGCTACATCTTTCGACAAGATGTCGGAGAATGATAAAAAAGCTCAGATCAAAAAAGTCAGTGGAAAACTTTCCTCCCTTTCCTCCTGCTCTCATCGTGTCCCATCTGACCTCAATGAACATCGATGTATCAAGGAGCTTTAGCTTGGCCGAGCCGAATCCTTATAGGGGTTTTCCGAGAATATACGACATATGGGAGGTCAGGAGCCTTCGTGACTACCTAAGACTCTTCACTCTGGCGGGTTAGGTGGACGGCCGAAGTATGAATGGAAAGGAGGTTGACGTTTATGAGAGAGTACGAGTGTAGGTACTGACAAATAGACCAATGGGATCTTTCAATTAAATATAAAGAATGCGGAGGGAAAAGAGGGTATTTGGGTGTATGTTATCCCCATCTCCACCCCCCCCCCCTTCTCTCCACCTCATCGCTCATCCTTTCTCTTATTCGCATCTTCGCTTTGAGAGCTATGCTCCCTTATCTCGACTCCTGCTGAAGAGTCAGGATAGACCTGAAGGAACAGGGTAAAGTTACGAAAGGACCCGCTAAGAAGCCCGGTGAGTGTTCTACTCCCCTATCTCTGTACGCTTCGATCTTCTCTCTTCATTATGTCCATCAGATATGGATTCACCCACTCTTCTCTACTGAGAATGGTAACGTGAGCGAGGATTGGGCTATGAGACTTTTTCAAATAGTACAATTACAATCGCTGACTGCAGATTGCACGATGACTCTTTCTGACGGTAAGTTCGAGGAACAGTTTTGCAAGAAGAGAGACTGATTGACAGACACATTCATGTCACTCGCCGATGGGAAATTGAACGGACAGAAAGCTTTCATGACTGGAGCTCTCAAAGTCAAGGGGAATGTTATGCTCGCTACCAAATTGGATGGTGTTCTCAAGGTGAGTCCATCTTTCGGTATTCGACTCTCGTCATCCACTTCTCCACCATATAATCTACGTTCATGCCTCCGCTGCTTATCTCGTCGTGCGTGTCTTCTCAATGTATCGACAGAATACATGCGATCTCAGGTAGACGGGACAATGCTGATCCGCAGGGCGCGAAAGCGAAGTTGTAAGCTTGCTCGCACTCTGCTCAGATCACTTCCGCGACTTCACGAGTTCCTTGCATGTTGTTTCAGTCATGTATAAAGTACGCATTCGATGGGCGTTCAAGATGATTTGCACACGGTTTTTCCGTCTTTTAAATTATATGTAACTTATACACGCGGCCAACCGAGATCAAGCACGACATCGACAACACTCTTTATATCCTCGATCAGCTCAGCTGCCATATCTTTATCACAGGCGGGGACCTTGAGCTTAACGATATCTATCATTAGCTCGAGTTGCTCATGTCATCCTCACGAAACGGCGACCACGTAATCTAATCTTTCTTCTTTTCCCTCGTCTTCAACCCTAACGCTTCCTTGGGGAAAGAGATCCAGAATGGAGGCACTTACCGACGATACCAGTTGTGTCCGCGACCCAAACGCTCAACAGAGCCCGGACTACCCGTCGAGCCGTCTTGTCGTCCATTTGCCGCTTAATGAGTCGGAAATGAGTCGCAACATCATCTTTCCTTGCGGCCCACCACTCAGCTTGTCTGGCGCGACCCTTGTCCTTTTTCTTCCCAACGTCTTCCAAGTATGGGGCGTTTAAGAAACCATCGACAGCGTTCATCATGGCGAAAAGGAAAGTCGGGATCGACGAAGGAGATACCGCGGTGTCGCCGTCAGCTGACAATCAGAGAGAACAGAAGCCCAGTCATTTGGAATACTCACCTAATGCCTTGGTCACACCGGCCACTCTTTCTAACCCAAACAAAGCCTCGTGAATAACCTCCACTTTCACCTCCTCGTCACTCGTGTCAACGAGAGATGAGTCAGCAGAAGACGCTGCGAGCTCCAAATCGTTGAGGAAGTTCTTGACAACCAAAACAACCTCTCTGATCCTCTCAGGAATGGGCGGTGGAGGTGGGAGGAGTGGAAGAGCTGATACCGAAGAAGATCTAGAAGTGGCTCGAGGGTTATAATCGTCCGGATCCCTCCGATGCTTTTGAGCCACTCGGGGATCAGTGGTCCTGTATTCCTCAAACGGCTGAGGAGTACCATCGTAATGAGAAAATGTCGAGTCGCGTATGTGACGTCCATCGGAATTGCTTATAATTGTACCACATTCCGATACGACGGACGATTCTCGATCACCAGCTATGGAGAATGACGATTCTCGAGTCCTCGCGAGTGGAGAAGGAGACGAAGGGGGGGAGGGGATGTCTGTGTCGTCCAAACTGATCGGCTGACCGTCAGCCATGACTTTACTTTGACCACTGAGAATCGTGACGGCAATCAGAGGAAGAAAATGGGCTCACGTTATGTGATGATCCCCCTATACTGACTACCGAGCTCGCTCTGCTGACCGGACCGGGTGTAGGCGTCTTGGAAGCCCTGGTAGTGAGAGTCCTCATGAGACTTGAGGCCCTCGACATGCTTCTCCTTGGAGAAGGGGAGGAAGGTGTCACAGATCGCATTCTCCCTCGCGTGGGAGGACCCATACTTCCCATTCTACGGATCGGAGACGGCGAAGGTGTGGAGCGAGGCGTCGATGGAGTCCTCGATCGAGGAGGAGTAAAAGGAGCCACGCTGCCAAAGCGAAGGGCAGACAGGTTGGGCTTTTTATCAGTGGGAGGAGGGGTGGGGGGAGGTTGAGTTGCAGCTCGTTTTTGGGGTTTGATAATTGTAGAAGCTGAGTGAAGCTGGGCCATGGTGGGCTTGACGTCAGGCCAAGATGTCGAGGGTGTAGCGCTTCTGATGGAAGACGGGGTGGCAGATCTCCTGGGAGAGGGGGTAGGAGGAGGAGCCATATCAGTTTTCTTGGTAGGCGTTTTGAAGGGGGTTCTAGGCTGTATCATGAGCTTGAATCCATCGCTGAAGGCTGACGAGATATAATGCTCACAAGTTCTGAGAAGACTTTGCTCGGTTTTGCTTGAGGCTTGTTGAGTTCGTCAAAGACCATGTTGGATATATCCTCTCTTTACACGTCGACTCGGGTAACGTATGAACTTGATGAAGGTTGAGAAAAAGACGTGAGAGCTATGAGTAAAAGTGACGATATGGTGAGAAGGACGTGAGAGATGAGAAAGAGTGAGAGTATTGGTAGTTAGTTATAAGAGGGTTTCCGGTAGCTTTCTGACTACATGGAGACGGAACTCCTTATGCCGTGCGCCCGACAGAGGGAAAATGTCCAATATTGGTCATGGTTCAAACTCACACAATCCTTTGGACTAAACGCCATGATCTACAGGAAACTTGCTTGACGACCATGTTCACCTTGACGACGAGTGGTGAGACGACTGTGAGATCCAGCCTCAGTTGTACCATACCATGTCAAGTGGGTAAGTGGAGGTAACGGCATCACACACATGGCCGAACCGAACCGAACCGATCAATCGGACTCTGATCATTCCACACCTCCCCTCAAAGAAACCCACTTTCTATCATCCCTCCCCTCACTCCTACACTGACCACTTCTGGTAGATACAAGACAAGTGTACGACTTTACATACAGCGGAAAAGAATTGGACAAAGAAGGCAAGGACGTTTCTAGTATGATCGAGAGATGAACAGGATACTTTTTCAGAACATCATAAACACGTGAACACGTCCAGCCTTCTTCTTCTCCTTCTTTCCCGCTCTCTTCCAATCGCGCTAACCTCTTATTTTCACCTCTTATCAAATCGTTAATAACCTTTGTACAGCTTTCAGCCTCCGGGAAGCTGATAAGGAGTCTGGAATTAGAGGTTAGACACAGGAATGAGATAATACGGAAGGTGGAATGTGAGTCGTGGAATGGCGGAACGGTCTAGACTTGCGGGAAGAAAAGATATGAGATAGGTGTCGCGTCCTTGGAAGAAGATATAAAGACAGGTAAGAGACTTTCCTCTCTCATCTTATCTTCTTCATTCTCAACCTCCAATAACTCTCGCAACTCTACCCGACCACCATACCAACGCGTCCATTACACCTCCCTCAATAACGACCACATATCGTCTCCTCCTCTTTCTACAAACCTTCCACCATCATCGAGCTTCTACTACACTTCTCATCGAGTCTAAACCTCACATATCTTCTTCTCTTCTCTCTGATCACCTTTTTAGTGTCACCCAGATCAGGTTTTCGTATCGAAAGTGTAAGTCATGCCCGTCAGACTTGATGAACGATTGCTAATGGCAGTGCCACATCATGTTCTTCTTCGATTACTTCAAACCTTCCCCTCCCCTCACCACCCATTCTGTCAAAGTCTATCATTGTCCCAAGATGGCTTCGGCTCAACTTGATCGTCAACGTCATCGAGAAACAGGATACAAACCTCTTACCAAACCACAATCCAAGTATTCCAAGACGCGTCTCACCATTCAAACCACAATTGATACTAAAGACAAGAACAATCGGAGAACCGTGCGTTTCTCTGATGATTCTTCCCTTTCTTCGTCTCCTTCATCAATATTACTCGTCACTCCTACTTCTTCACCTCGAACGTCAAGTTTTCCATCCCGTCTTTCTTCCCCTCTCAACTACACTTCGAAATATACTCCTACTTCCATGCTATCGAACACACGAAACCCCTCACCGAAAGATCTCGAACACAAACCATTGAAAGGAATCCTTCGTACGTCTTCTAAAAACCGACTCTCCACAATTGTCCCGTCTACAAGTTATCACTCTGATCTCCTACACAAACCTCGGACAAGAGAAGGAGAATGGAAGAATTTATGGAGAGAGAGAAGGGAGAAAAGGGATATATGTGAAATTAACAGTTTTCCTTGTTGTCCAAGACCAAAAGAAGAAGAATGGATTCATCGTTTGGAGAAATTACAAGAATGGAATGAAGGGGAAAATAATTTATTGGATCATATTCAACAAGTTTATGGTGGATCCGATGAATATGAGAAAGAAGTATTCAATGGTCTTTCTGAACAACCACATCCTAGGATACAAAAGACTAAGAAGTCTACAACGAAGAAGGAAGTGGTGGAACCGGTATGTACCAAGATGGTGATACAAGGGGAGATTGAGAAATATTGTCTTTGATTTCCTTAAGGATAGGAATTAGTGTCTTGTCTTTTCGATACGGCTGGACCGATCATAATTTTCGACCTGGGAGTCAAGTATATTCACTTCTCCAACACTATGCGGGTATAGGATCGGGAGTGACGACCAATGAAATTGAAGTACAGGTTCATCACGAAATCATCACCGCGCTGCGACGCGGCCAAAGTCACACGACATTGTCGTCAAAGTTCCATGTACCCAGTCCTTTGTATACAACTCATCACCTCCACCTTCACATACCTCACTCTCCGTCTTCGAATCGCACTCCCTCAAGATGTCGTCTCGGTAAACTCGGAGATGAAGGATGAAGGATGAAGGATGAAGGATGAAGGATGAAGGATGAAGGATGAAGGATGAAGGATGAAGGATGAAGGATGAAGGATGAAGGATGAAGGATGAAGGATGAAGGATGAAGGATGAAGGATGAAGGATGAAAGATGAAGGATGAAAGATGAAGGATGAAAGATGAAGGTTGTCATATGTAACACTGGATAGATCAAATGTTGTTGTACATCACATACTGTATGTATCATGTATCATGCATACTACAGTATTAGACAGGGCTTCATGTCTCTATCTGCTCGCAATTTCCCCCCTCGCATGATCTCGCGAAATTTGACAATGACGGGACCACGAGATCTTTGAATCTTTCTTCTTAAGTAGAATACTGAGAATTCCTTATACGAAGAATAGTCAAAAGTCCAATAACAACTGCATTACACCAAAATCTACTAGAGTGAGATAGACAAATGGATATACGTAGATAGATAACCTTTTCAAGTCTTCTCCATCCGCACCACGAGCCACTTGACCATTTATACGTTATTCAGCATACGACTCTTCATTCTCCACTATCACCTCTTGAGCTTCGTATTCTTCTTCTTCATCCATATCGGCGTTTGCGTCTTGTTGTCAGTTTACAGGCGCTGTTTCACTATTCAGTTTCCCACGGGTCCGAGGGCGATCATATTCACTACGACAAACCTTGCAACGATTCCATCACATCTCAACGGGACCAAAGACAAGGAATAGGACAAGGACAAGAAGAAAAGAACAAAGGGGGGGAGAAAATGCAGATGTGGAAGAACTGAGAACGTTGGGGAGAGACGAGAGCGTTGGAGGAAGGAGGGAGTCGATGGAAAAAGCCAGAGTGAAGAGAAAGGGAAGGATTACGGATCACGAATGGAAGACGAGGGAGGAGCCAAGATACAGAGCACTACAAAATGTGACAACATGAAGACATGTTCACAGGCAAGATGGGAATTCGAAAGTTTACAAACACATAACTCACATTGATCATACTCATTACACACATCAGCCAAATTGGCCTCTGCTTCTTGAAACTCCATCTCGTCCATCCCTTCACCAGTGTACCAATGCAAGAACGCTCTTCTTTTGAATAATTGACGGAATTGATTATGCGAACGTTTGAATACCTCGGAAATGGCCGTGGTATTCGCTACGAGTGTCGCGGAAGCGGGTAGACCGACGGGTGGAACGGTGCATAATGTTGTCAGGGCGGAGTTGGGAATCTAAGAGGTTAGTCGTTACTCAGACTGATATGTTCGCTGCATGACTAGATGAGATCACAACTGATGATGATGATGATGATCTTGGAGCGCCACGACGACGATGACGAGTTGCAAGGAAGAGAGAGGACAAAGTCGAGGAAGAAGAAGAAGAAGAAAAGGTCGTATACTCACCCATGGTACGAAATGAGCAGAATTGCGATTTTGAAATTCCCACACTCCAGTCTCGATATCCCTCATACTCATCTTTCCCCTATATGCCACTGCTACAGTCAAGTATTTACCCAAAGCAGGATCGATAGCCGCCATCAAACTCTTGCGTTGGAAAATAGCCGCTGTGAGCTCGTGAACATTCGAAGCCTGGCTAATCAGCATGAAACGTCACATCAAGTATAACTCACGGTATATTGTCTTGTGGACGTGGAAACTAAGGGGGCGTAACCGGTGGTGAAGAAGTGAAGTCGAGGGAATGGGACTAGACATGTCAACTCTACTTCAAGACATGTTCTAAGTTTGACTGACCCATGTTCACGGCGAGTTTTCGAAGATCGGAGTTGAGCACACCAGGGCTGATCAAATCAGCTATGTCATGTTTCATGAGTATGAGGAAGATCTACAATCGTAACGTGGCTATTTCGTCAGTCATACCCTATCTAGCTATTGAGTTGACGGGAAACGTACTAGTGAATCCAGACATGACCTTTGCCACCAGAGAATTCAAGTCCTTGTACCGTGGCATTTTTATCTTCAACTCCGCTTCGCATATATTATACAAAGCTTCGTTCTGACACATCAGCTCAAGCTCAATCTTCGTGGATAAGATGTAAGCTGCTCACGTCTATACAACATGTGATATCGGCATTCTCCACCAACATGTTAGTGGATAACACGGCGTTGTATGGTTCCACCACCGTTTCGGAAACTTTAGGGGAGGGGAATATGGAGAAGGTTGCCAACATCCGATCTGGGTATTCTTCCCTTATTTTCCCTAATAGCAAAGCACCAAGACCTGAACCAGTACCCCCACCAAGAGCTTCTGGTCAGTATCATCAACATATACGTATGCTTGACTAACAATGTATGAGTTGAAATCCTTGGAGGGAATCAGAATTCTCAGCTTGTTGTCTTAATACATCTTGGATGCTTTCCACAAGTTCAGCACCTATATGATTAGCTCTTTCTTCGATCGTCCACGTCAGACCATGAATGACGAGAGTCGGGGTGATGGGAGATTGGCAATGTCAGATGAGGAGACAAACCTTCGGTGTAATACCCCTTCGCCCAGTTATTCCCCGCCCCACTTTCACCATGAACAAACGTCTCTGGTCGGAAAAGATTTGCCATATTCCCCGCTCGGACCAAATCCACCACTCCAGGTTCGAGATCGACTTGGATCGATCTCGGTACATATTTTTTATTTGAAGCTTCAGTGAAATATACATCGACTGATCGTAAGCCATTGCATCCTCATCGAGGGGCGCTTAATACCGACTGACCTTTGGCGAGTTGTTGTGGGTCATTGCCTATATATTTCCCACTCACTAAGACGATCAGTACCAGCAAGAACGGATTGAGGGTAAAAGTGAATTACTGACGATCTAAACCATGTTCCGCCAAAACGGTTTCCCAAAAAGCTGTCCCGATTTGGTTTCCGGCCTGACCGACTGATCGGGTAAGCTTCCCTCAAGAGGTGATAAGATAACAACTCACCTGAGAGACTGATGATTTCTCTCCCCATTTCTAGCGCTGTGGGGTTTTATTGAGAAAGGTAGGAAAGGAACTGATGCAAGAGAGAGAGAGAGAGAAGAAGACATTGCGCTCCCTGTCTTCGCCTCTGGCCCAACCCCCCTGCTCTCTCCTCACCTGGTCGAACACGCGCCGCGCGTGAGGCATTTCCCACGTCATACTTTACCAGTAGTAGGAAATCGTTATCAATTGTCCAAATGCTCCATTAAGGTTCAGCCATCAGGCATCAGCCATCAGGTATCGGCCATCGGCCGTCGGAAGTCAAGAGTCATGACGACGCAGGCTCCGATCAAGCAAAAGCCAAGAGCAAGGTTTCCAGTAAGATGAGCATTAGCATTCCACAATCATCGTCTTTTCAGCATCGGCGACGGACATCAAGTGAAAGTGTGCAATTTGACACCTTCATATTTCCTCAGCGGCTTGGACAATTGTATACAACAAACGAAAGGAAGAAACATCTTTCGACCTCCGCTGGTTGCACCTTTCAACGCAACTACCCTCGGAGGCTGTGCACGGGTGTCGCCAGGTGTCTCATTCTACTCGTCAACACCTTGCAACATCACTACTAGTTACATACTCTTGAACGTTCCATCAAGCGCCCATGAGAATATACTTGATCGGATTGACGATCTTATCGTCCCTGACTCGAGCTACGCACCTCACTTCCGACTATCTTGACAAGGTATACGATGTTATGAAACAAATTTCTACCCAAAGGTCAGTTCACTTTTCACTTTTCTTCCGTCTTTATTCCCGCTTCCTAGCCTACATTCCTCACGTCATCCTTACCTTGTTACCGTTAGATAACGTTGTATCCGACTGCGACTGACGATCAGTTGGGAGAACGGTACGGAAGCAGAAGCGATCTTGCAATACAAATATCCTCAATACTCTGTGTTCTCATCTTCCAACCCCTTCCCATCCAGTTTAAGCCAGGGCGATTTCCAGGATGTTTTCAATATCGCTCAGGTCACATTGAACAATCGACCGAGTGCGAATAACGCTTCTGCCAATACGACCTCGGCGAGTTTATTGAAAGATGGAGCAGCGGGCGATCCGGCGAGTTTGGGGATCAGCGTTTTGCTTGCCAATGTCAGCTCTGGGAATGCCCAGGTGAAAGGTGTGGGTTATGGGACTGCAGCGGAGGAGGAGTTAAACTATTTGTTGAATGATGTGCCAAAGGTTTGTGCTCTTACATTCTGCCTTTCTCTCAAATATTATGGACTTCCACACCTCTCTCTACCACCTTTCATAGTCTTGCTGGCCTGATAGAAATAGCTAATCAATCAGTCATCTTCCGGGGCGATCTCCCACCGGGCCGATCAAGTCCAATTATGGTCAGACTCGTAAGTCTCTCTCATCACCTAGAAGATCGCTCATATCCGTCAGCATCTCAATGGTACCCCCTTTCCTAGCGTACTACGGTGCCGTGCATAACAATCAATCCCTTTTACAACTCGCCTACACACAGTGTGCACTGTATCGTGATGTTCTCAGGCAAGACTCCGGCCTTTGGGCCCATATCGTCATGGGCACAGGAGCTTCCGACCCTGGTTTGTGGTTAACAGGTAACGGGTGGGCGGCTATGGGCATGATCAGAGTTTTGAACACCATCCGGTGGAGTGGTTTCTCGAACAGTATGACAAGCCAAGTATCCGATTTGCAAAGCTGGGTGTCGGAGATCTTAACTGCGTCTCAGGGATATATGGTGGGTTTTCTGATATGTTTGTTTGGAGAAGTGTAGCTGAATATGCAGACCAAGGATGGGTTATTGAGAAATTACATCGACCAGAGTTCTTCTTTCGAAGAGACAGCTGGCTCGGCGCTGATCGCTGCTGTAGCCCTGTGAGTTTCATCATTGTCACGCAATCTACTTCAGTCTCCCGTGTCGCCACAATCTGTCAGTTGTTGTACTGCACATACTACACAGAGGGAGAATCTATGTGAGTAGACGAGACTGACTTATAGACGGATGTCCACCATGGGCTTAACCAATCAATACGCCTCCCAAGGTATCCAACTCCTCTCGGCAGTATCGGCCAAAGTCAACTCTTCAGGCTACCTTACGCAAGTTGTGAACCCATACGATTGGTCTCAAACCGCGACTCAATCACCAGAGGGTCAGAGTTTTGTCATCATGGCTTATTCGGCATACAACGAGTGGATTAGTCAAGGGCAACAAGGGGATAGTGATAAGAACCCATTAGGGAACGATAGCGGGGCTTTAGGTGGCATCTCTCGACAATATATGGGGTTTGTAGGGTTTTTGACCGCAGTGTGTGCGGGAGTTTGGACTGCTCTATGAGAGGGAACATCGAAAAAGGTCATTGAAATGATCACGAGTAGAAGGGGTATTTGAAGAAAAGCGTGAATAGGATCTGAAGAAGTATAATTGGGCATCTTGGGAAGGACTGTCTGGGTTAGCTGTGGGAACACTGAGTTTTTATCTTGTCTGGGTGATTTTACAGCTTAATCTACTACTGTAGTAGTGTTATTTGCGTAGACATTGCCCTTGTCGTATCAAAGCACTCATACACTATGCATGACGCACCCGCACCCGCACATGACACAAAGCGTTACTGTATGATCGATGGAAAATGTTGCCGCTTTCTATGACGCTATGACGTAGGTGTTCAGGGCCCGGACCGGCCCTTGGCTCAACTCTTCAAAAACCTGCCACCCGCCCTCGACCCTTCCCCCATCCATCCAACCTAAGTCACCAGTCACTTCTCACTTCTCTCCTTCTCTCTCTCATCTTCGATTCTACTTGTCTTTTGTCAAACCACCCTCCATCCAAACGTAGTCTCATTTCATATATTCTTGCGGAAAGGCATCGCTTCCTTTTCCGGATCGGACGCACAGATTTATCCAAACAAACAGTCGGCGGAGTTCCAATTCGCACTGTCTGTTCAATCTCTGACACCTCTCTGTTGTATCAATTTCCTTCAATCCACGCATCATGGTATCCCCCGCTTTCCCAGGATTATTCTTTGCGTTTGCAGGTTGGGTCTTGTTATTATTCGCGTCTGTTTCACCTCCCGCTTGGACAGCTGTCAAATTTCTCTCTGCCAATGCAGGATCACAAACGACGGTATTTGGGGTTTTAGGACAATGTGTGGTGGGAGGAGCATGTACGGCGAAACATGTGGGGTATAATATCGCCGTAGCTGGTGCATCGTGAGTCTTCTGTCCCCTTCTTTTCCATTACCATCTTCTCTCCCTCCTACATCTGTACCAACCTCTATCTTGTATTCTTCAATGACGATGCTACTAGGTATGCCTGCCTATGCAGTTTCCCCATTGACAAGAATCTATATTACGTAGATTCCAAAGCTCGAGTCATTCTGGTGTTCCTCAATGGGGCAAGTATGAAAGTGCTATAGATAGGATACATGCGATGTCCTGTTATGTAGATGACCAACGCTCACAATCAGCAATGTCAACACCAACCCCACAGTCCTTCATCACCTCACCTACGCCCTCATCCTTCACCCCATAGCAGGAGCCATCGCATTCATCGGCTTCATCCTTGGTCTAGTCGGTATCATTTGCGCTTCCCGAATTGCCACCATTTTCATGGCGTTGTTGGAGTCTCTAGCAGCCGTGATAGCTCTAGTGGTATTTGTCATTGATATGGTGTTGTGGAATCTGGTCAAGAACCGTTTGAGAGATGGTGGCTACACCGCGACACTAGTGAGTCCCCTCTCCGCCCTGATCACAGCTTGAAACCATATCACGTATCAAAATCCTGACCCTGTATAGTAGATCTAATCTCGTCATCTGCAGGAGAGAAGTGGTACCTACTGTACGGTAACGGCTCTGGGGGATGATGTTGCTCAAGAACCATCGGATAACAACTTACCATGCAGGGCAATGCCAACTGGCTTACAGTGGGTGCTGTAGTCGCTCTGTTCTTATCAATGTGCACGTCCGTGTGCGGGGCTTGTGGACGATTCGCTACCGGTCGAGCGGCAGGCGAGAGGGTGCGTTTCTTGTGTCTTTGTATTTGGCAATCGGCTGACTATGATAGTATTGAGGGACTCCTGGGTCGGGGTTCTTACAGGACATTTGTTGCCGCATGCCAATTTCCCGGTGTACTTTACGAAGCCTTATATTGTGGGAATTAGAGTTCGGTCGGCCGTTTGACAAAGTTGGAACAGAAGCAGACAGGAGGAGGTAGAAGGAAAGGGGCTGTATTGTCACTGTGTTCAATATGACACGTTTTATAATCTCTCGGTATGAATGCTATTGTTCGCCTGTCAAGCTTTTTGTCTTAAGATCGTTCAGTTACACGAGGCATCACAAGTCTTGGTGTATGTGTATGTGTGTGTGAGAGAGGTTGTACTACAGACTGACGTATCATACTTATGTGACGATCGTTGATGAAAGGCCAATCTTTAAGTAGCCTTTGACCAATTTCGCTTGCTTGAAACTTCTCTCTCCCTTCCCCATCATCCTTCTCATCATTTCCATATACCCAGCATATCTTAGTGTCAACTCACAAGGACTTCATTCCAGCATCTCTCATCTCACAATCCCACTTTAACATCAAAACAAAAAAGAAAGTTTCTGCACATAAAGATTCGTAACCATCAAATCTTTCATCCTTCCTTCCCCACTCAACACCGCGCATCAACTTGCCTCGAGGCTACCAACCCTCTTCCACACCCCCCTCCCCTTCTTTCCTATTCGGTATCTGGGACCAATCAACATGGAGAGCACGTCACAAGGTAATAAGCTTCTCGCCATGCTTAACCAAGCCACTTCGGTTTTGACACCTACTTCTACCATCTCTTCCGGTTCGGCACACTTTCTGAAAACACCTCATCCTGTCTCACCACGAGAACCTTCACCCGTACCTCCCCCTCCTTCTCTTCAAGCGGTCTCATTGTCGGATCTGTTCGGGATGGCCGCTGCCAATGCCAATCAGGAGATTCAAGTACCAATCGGTGGTGGTGGTTTGAAATTATCAAGCATGTTTCCAGCTGTTCAAAATCAGAATAACGAGAAAGAAATTTCACCTGTCAAGAATGGAGTGGCGAGTCCACCCACTTCTCATCAACAGAACCTTATGAATATGTTACATACACCGTTGGTTTTTCCTAAGACCCCAATCTTACCTTACCTATTACCTATTACCTGTTATATGCACTTGACCCAGAAATGTGGAATGTGAGCTGATTGAGAAAGTATTACGCAACAATCTCCCATCCAGAATAACCCTTCAAATAAGTCTACCCCTCCTCCTCCTATTTTCAATGTACAATCCCCCGCTCAGGTCATCTCACCAAAACAATCTACCCCACCTAATGTATCTAAACTTCCCGAAGTTCAAACAAAGAAATCTCCTTTCACATTCGTCAGTCCATTCGACGTTTTTGAACCACCAAAGAAAAACATCAATCTCACTCCTTCAAAACCTGAACCGGTGGCAAAACCTCAAGCTCAGACGCAAGATGGTGAAATTCGCCAACGTACCATTTCTGGTTTACCTTCCTCCAAGAAAAGTGTTCCTCCTGGGCAGGTCAATTCTGCGGCGGGATCACCAAGAAATAAAGCAGAGCTTCAAGCTCCACCTCCTCCTCCGAGACCTAAAGAGGAAGACAGAATCGTATCTACGTCCATTACGACCAGTTCGGGCCCAAAACCTGCCCCAGAGCTTCCCTATGCAGCATCCAAGCTCACCAACGGACAGTCGGGTCAAGGGTAGGTCTTCCATCCCACCCATTTGATGAGATGTTCACTCATGACAGACCAAGCATGCCTATTCCTCGCACAGTAATCACAGTTACCGAGGCGAATCTTGATAGTCTTTTCAATGGTCAGGGGGTGGATATCTCCCCCGTGACTAAGATGCGCGCCAGATCCGACACTTATTCTCATGGGAGAACTGTCGGAATGACCACCGATTGGTTGGCTTACGCCACTTCCAAAGGTAAGCTGACTCGTCATTCCATCTCACAATTTACTGATAACCCAGGTCGAGTACGCTTGGTCGACAAAGCCACAGCTACACCTGCCGTACTCGAAGTGCCTGACCTACGTGATGGTCATATCGTTGACATGACCGTATCTCCCACTTCTGTGGCTGTCCTCGGTTCCGATGGGTCCATCACCGCCTTTCAAGTTCCCAAGCAATGGAGTCGGGAGAATCCTGCGGTTTCCGTCATGCTGCACGTCAATCTCACTCACAATACCACCATAGGAGTTCCCCGTCAAATCGAGTGGATCAAAGACGGTCGTCTCGCTGTGGCGGGCACCGAAGGTGTTTTGCTTGTTTATCCTCGACAAGAATCGGCCAATACCTTTTCTGACCCTCAAGCACCAATGTTCCGGACTGATGGGGTGAGCTCTGAATTCAATGGGAACTCGCAAAGCTGATAACAGTCTCTCGTATCTTTCTGTCTGAATCAAACTCACCAAGCCATCGGTCTTCTTTCTGAAACAGGTTGGTTCAGTCTATGGAACACCGCCAGCTTGACTCGTGTCTGGCATCGACAGCTTCCCACTTCAGCACCAAACAGTTCCATATCTTCTGTCACCTTCTGCGAGACCAATATCATCGTCGGTCGAGACCGAAACACCGTACTGGAGTTGCTGCAAATCACGTCGGAAGTGGCAGTCTTATCTTCAATTGAGTTCTCTTCGCCATACAATGATGACACGTCGTTCGCGCAACTCATCTATGACGCCTCGAAAGGTGTTTTATGGGTAGCATCTTTCGCTCGATCAAGCCTGTTCGGCTTCAAGTATGCGCTCAAGGGTCAAGCTCCCGTTAGAAACATACCGAAAGACACCCCTACTGTTGTGGGCTTCGATCGTATGGTGGAAATTCCCCTGCAGCCCATTCTGAGTCTGGTCTTGGGAGAAAGACCTGGCGAAGATACAGAAATCTTTTTCGTCACTCCTACCGGTCTCGACTCTGCAACAATCGGTAAATCGATCTCCGACACTCTGGCTGGTTTCAGTCAGTCCATCGTCAGGGAATCCCCGAGAGCATCGCAAACTCCAATTCTGGACGATATTGCGAGAGTACGTAAATCGAGCACTCCGTATTCGGGCAATAGATCTTTAAACCACTCAAGGTCTAGTGTGCAGAGACCTTCGGTGCGGGATGATGACGGGGACATTTCCAACGGAGGAAATGAATCGCGGGAAGAGAGTGACGCTGGTCGGTCTATTCACGATGTTGAACAAGGAGTCTCGTTGGACCAAATGGCGATTCAGATCCGAGGCGTGAGTTTGAGTGTCTCTATCCTATCTCCTGGCTGACAGGTAGTCGGAAGGAAGGGTGATCAAGTCCATCAAGGATAATTTGGCTACTATCAATCAGGATTTCAATACTCGGATCGACAAGATGTCCACCGAGCTCAGTAATGATGTTGCGGGACGAGTCGAACGATCGATCAAGGCTCAGCTTCAAACTTTGATTCAAAATGAAATCAAAAAGACGTGAGTGTCGTCTCCTAATGCTCTGTTGACTCGGGCTTATCATAGTGTCGTGCCTGCTATCGAACGGACGGTGCAGAATGAACTCAGAACTGTAGTCAGCAATCAAGTTCCAGGAGCTATCCATGACGCTCTTCAGTCCGTTCCTCGTGAACTGGAAAAAGCTCTCGGTCCAGCTATACAACGTTCAATCTCTACCATCGTCCACTCCTCCGTGAGCTCCCTTCCGCTTTTTATGACCAAACTGACATATACAGCTCGATCGAGTAATCAATGAAAGTCTTCAAACCAATCTCATCCCAGTCATGTCCACTTCCTCCACTCAATTGGCCGATCAAATGACTTCTGATCTTAAAGCCGAAATGTTAGCATTGAGAAAAGACTTTGAATTTCCTATTCGTGAAGCGGCGAGTTTGAGCGATACGACCTTACGACAGCTCGTCAATTCCGTTTCAGAACTGAAGACCAAAGTATCTTCTCTATCCGATCAACTCGCTCGTCAATCTACTCAACCTCTACCTCAAGCCACAACCACCACCGGTCCCGCCCCTACTGGAACAAATACGATCCCACCAGTCCAACCCCGTAGAGTCAACGAACAACCTGCAGACGGTGTGAATCAACAATACGAAGATATGATAGGGACTGCCTTATCAGCCCAAAGCACTCAGACTTTGGTAAATCTCTTATCGGAACATTGGGCGATAGTGGACAGAGCTGTCCCAGCTCAAGGTAGACCTCAAGTTTCTCAAGCTGTTATTTTTACACTTTTGTATCAGGTAAGTAAAGCTGCAATCAGACGGAACAGAGAGCTGATTATGTAGTTGGGAGTGGCATTGAACGAATTGAGTCCGGCGGATCCCATGTATGCGAGGGTTTTGCATATGCAAAGAAGGGCCGTTGGTATCGTGGAGCCTAGGGTGAGTGAATCTACCTGTGATCGTCTCGTTTCTTATCGTCTCTCACCCTACTTTTTCCGCCTTACCATACCTCTATGGTGCTTGTTTCAATATATAGATCCAGACCGTCGCAGGAATCGATCCGCCTGAATCAAAACTCTGGATTATGACTCGTTTGACAGGGAGTGATGAATCCGGTGCAAGTCGATGCTGATACTATAGGAACAACTCATTTCTAGTTTTTTCGGTCAAATCACACCCAACATACTCGCCAGTCTCAATAACGCCGTTCAGACTTTGACAAGTCGATGGACAGCTGACCCAGTGGTCATCCAATACATTCCTATCTTAAGGGAATCAATGGCGATCTTGCAACACAAACTGATGCAACAGTCTATGGGTCAATAAAATCACATCTAAATCCATTCTCCCAAGTCGTGTATAATGAGAAGATCGTCTGAAATCGTGAAATTGATAAGAGTAGGAGAAATGTGAATGAGATGTTGTCATAGTCTGTTTATGCATATTTCGACTCAAGCGTCATGGCACTTTTCTTTCACTCGTCCACACTCCTTTTAGTGATCACTGCTGTTATGCTGTTCACTCGAGATAGTCCTTTAGTGGTATACGGCTACACTCATTCGAATGCCTAGTCATCAAGATCACGACCCCCCGCAGGTCATCCATTTCGTCGGGAGATAGCAGATGTTCAATTAAATTGAGATGAGACACAAAGATGACAAGGTAGCATATTGCATCCAGTAAATCTTGGTACTAAATGTATTTAAATCTCTCAGAATTCATCCTCTGATCCAGACCCGAACCATCCTCCATAAGCTAATATAGTCCCATATACCAAACCACCTCCTGCGACAGACATCCAACATGCGGCAGGTTGTATAAGTTCCGAGTGAGCTAAGAGAAGAGGGAGGGAGAGTCCTGTTGTCTTAAAGGAATCAGCATGGAGCATCATTCTATCATAATGTTCTGTCCTATCTCCCTTACCTTTATGTTTGCAGCGTGGAACATCAAGAAGTCTAAAATACATGTATAACTTATGTGTATAGGTAAAGGAGGGACTCCCCAAGATACCATTTTGCATCGTGTATGAATTTTTAGATGGCATGGAGTGTGTATAGATGTGATATCGTACTAGAAAACGACAGGAGGGGAATTGTACCTAGGAACATGTGTGTGAGGAGGTGGAAGGAGGGTTTTACTCTGTGGAGAAAAGAAATATGACTCACAACTAACATCCCAGTTAAGAATCTACCAAAATCTATATACGCTGAATTATATTCAGGTGATAAATCATCCGCTCTTGCGCATCTAGAACATATAGAGTTGGGTATAGGGGCGAGGACGAATGTGAAAGCTGTTTTCGTGAGTTCGGTATTCTTGCTTCATGAAGTCATTCAGTGAGTTCTAGTACTAAAACGCCGAGTTTTAGAATGATCTGATTGAAGTCTATTTCGATATGCCGAGGAGGAGAGATGAATGGATGATAAAATGTAAGATTCAAGAATTAATCAGGTGAATGGGTTTGTGGAGATCCGTATCCAAATGATTAATCGGTACACGGAGGAGTCAATGGGGTATGGAGAAGAGCCCCAGGAGGTGGATGGGGACATGATGCTGGATTGATATGCAGAAAGATGACTTACCAACTAAAAGAGGTAACCAATTGGCCCATAATGCGCAAGAGAGAATGACGAGTAAAAACCCTAAAGCTAGGACGAAAGAGAGTAAGATGACGGCTGATGTTGCAAGTGACATGTTATGCACTTATCGGAATCCCAGGGCAAGAGTTTAAGTTGATCAGTTGAAGAATAGTTGCAAAAGTGTACAGAAGTCGATGGCCGTTGGGGATGAGTTCCGTCGGATGAATGGATCGATGGATCGATAATTGTTAAGTTACGAGAGAGAAAGAGAAAGCATCAGCTTCATTCCTTCGTGGCAGGGCAGCATGTCGGCATAGCACAAAGGAGGGTTTACTCGGAGGACGGAGGCAGTGGATTTTGGTGATTGATATGAAATGACTTTAGTATGAGAAGACTCACTCTTTAAACCAGCTGTCATCTTGTACACATCCACACTGCGACAAAAAGACTGTGCTAGCTGCTTGCTACCTGGCCACTTTGCTTTTTGTGAAGAGTTCTGACGTTCTCGCTTGTACTGATCGTCGTTTGACCCAAAGAGGTTACTTCGTAAAATGGAGGGTACACATAAGGTTTGACCGATAACCGAGTCATTCTGGAAAAAGTCCAAAAACCGATCGATGGATTGGAAACTTGGATTTTTTTGGCGAACGTGCAATATCAATCTTGAGACTTTGACACATTCCGAGAAATACAAAAAGTATCATATGTACACACACAAAACCGTTTCGGTCCGCGAGGTCAGCTACTCAAAGTCTGCCAATATGACCACGAAGGAGCTGACGCATAGGCCATGGATTTGCTCGATGATAGAAGGGTCAAGGTTGTCCGTCCTCTCATCCCGTGAGCTTGACCCTCAAATTGTAACAAAGCTGGAAAAGGCTGACGTATCAGACCACAGATTCTTCTGGAAGAGTAAGTCATCTACATGCTCTCTCAATCGAAGAAGAGGGGTCTTCTCGTTGAGATATGAATGAAGATGATGAGATGGAATGAAAAAAAGTGAAAATTAGTGTGAAACTGACTATCAGACTTCCCTTATCTCTCAGAGGAGCACAGACGGTTTTAGATGGTAGAAGACAAGTGGAGAGTATCATAAAAGGTGATGATGACAGACTTCTGGTTATTGTTGGGTAAGTTGGCTCGTTTATGAGGTGCAGTCTTGCAGCTGATATCGAAGACCTTGCTCGGTGCATAATCCTGAACAAGCTTTGGAATACGCAAAGAAACTATTGGTATATGCCAAAGAATCAGAAGAGGATTTGATGATTGTCATGAGGGTATACTTTGAGAAGTAAGTCTTAACACCTTTCATCCCATGTATTCCTCCTCGTCCACCTGACTCATCCTTCATCCGCATTGCTTAAATTTCGTCTCATTTGTCGGCCGCTAGGCGAGATGTCGCATGTGCTATTGGGTGAATGTGATCGGTGATTCAGACTCAAGCTCACAACCAGACCCAGGACAACAGTCGGTTGGAAAGGTCTCATCAACGGTCAGTGATGTTTACAAGCTGTTGAACCCAACATTGAGATCCAGACCCCGATATGAACGGCTCTTTCCAGATCAATCGCGGTCTAAAAATTGCACGAGGTCTATTACTTGAGATCGCAGAGATGGGTATGCCAGCCGCTGGGGAGTTTCTTGGTAAGCTTTTTTGCTGCCACCACGGCTGAAGCTGACAGTCAGATGTCATCTCACCACAGTATCTAGCCGACTTGAATTCGTGGGGAGCTATAGGCGCTAGGACTACGGAAAGTCAAGTTCATAGGGAACTGGCTTCTGCATTGTCGATGAGTGTCGGCTTTAAAAATGGGACAGTGAGTAATTCGTCATTCTCTCCCCCCTCTCTCTCTCTTCAAATCTTCTGATTTCAATCTTCATGCTCACGCTCAAATCTGGTCGATCCTCTACGTCAAGCCTAGCCCCCGGGGTCTAGGGACTTTCTCCTCTCTGCCAGATCGCGCGGATGTTGAGGAGTAGTCGAAAAGTATCGTTAGAATGAGACTGATGTTCAGGACGGGTCAATCGACATTGCTGTAGACGCAATCAAAGCCGCCGGCTCGGGACACACTTTCCTCTCTGTAACGAAACAGGGTCTCTCAGCTATCGTTGAGACCATTGGCAACAACTCTACGCATGTTATCCTTCGAGGTTCTTCCAAAGGGCCAAATTACTCTGCCGATCACGTAGAGGCATGTGGAGAAAAGCTCAAGAAAGCCGGTTTGAGCTCTAGGTTGATGGTAAGTACTGACTCTCCCCGATCTCTTCTCTCCGGCCAGCGTCAAGAAAAGGGTTTAGGGCTGACCCAAAGATCGACTGCTCGCACGGAAACTCCTCCAAGCAACATCAGAAACAAATCGAGGTTGGACGGGACATTGTGAGTAGACAGATTCAGCCCATCGGTGGTCCAGACTGACATCCCCAGGCCGCTCAATTAACATCCGGTCCTACATCGCAAATGATCCTAGGAGTCATGATCGAGTCTAACATCAACGAGGGAAAACAATCCGTCCCTCCAGAAGGTCCATCCGGACTGAAATATGGCGTGTCCATCACCGACGCCTGTATCTCCCTTGAACAGACTCTCCCTCTATTGGACGAGCTTCGTGAGGGTGTGCGGAAGCGGAGAGAAGGTGTAAAGGCCAAAGTTGTCAACGGCTCGCATTGATAATTCTTTCACCATCCTCTTCCACCGTTGCTCTTTTCCCTCTATCTCGTCATTGCATCTGACCATCTATTTCACTGTATATTTTTCATGCATCTTGCTCGACCAGATCACACGTTGCACGAGTGAGTACATGCGGGGTACTCGGCGTGATATCCGGGGCGCCGTATTTTAGACCGGGCCCGTGCCGTGTCTCCGATCAAGCGAAAAAGAAAGCAAGTCGACGCCCTTTAGAAAGTCTTAACGCGCAGCAATCCTTGTCGCAGTTTATCACACTTTGTCAAACCTCACTCATCACTCTCCTCTTCATGTCTAGCAGCTTTCTCACACATATCAAAACACACTAGATCTTCATCACGAAGGATAAGTAAAAGTTACTCTTGTGGGTCGTAGTGTAAGGACTGTGCACCGCCCTCTTCCTTTGACCCTGTCGACGCCTGACCCGCCTTCAACATTCTCCTTGACGACCTTACTTCTTTCTTCATCCATGTCAATTCCATCACCTCATCTATAGTCCCCACTTCCTCATCTCCAACCCTCATCCCAATAAGATGCTTCATCCCATTCGTGTACTAGTACTTCTCTCAATACTCAACTTCTCTCTGGCTTCACCGCCTCTCGTCCATCGACCTAGAGAGCCACAAAAGCCTTCGAAAGACCTGGTGGATAGAAGAGTCGAAACGGTCTTGAGAAGACGGGGAGATGTCATCTATCGACCTCGTCGACGATCTATCTCGCGTGAAAAAAGAGATGTACCGTCGTTAGGATGGGGAAAGGAGGTGAGATTAGAGCGTCGGGAGGGGAAAAAGAGGTGGAAGAGGGATTTGGGGAATGGGAGTATTATTGATCTTGGTACTACACAAGAGTATGTTTATGATCTTTATCTCGTACTCTTACTCTCACATACTTTCTCTTTCACTTCTCCCTTGCCTCTACGTCTCTTTCCGAACTCTCGTCTTCGATTATAATCCCACGACACCCCCTCATCATAACCCCCAGTCCGTCTCTGGATAACAAAACAATTTGAGACAGGTAGGTGTAGGGAACATGTGGCAAGAACGAGTACATGGACAGATCTGACACATAGTACATACATCCTTCCCGTCTCCATAGGCTCCTCTCCCACCACCTACCCCGTACAACTCGACTTAGGCTCTTCCGACCTTTTACTCGCTTCGACACTATGTAGCAATACAAATGTCTGTCCAGCTCCCGCAGCGGCTTATCCTTTTTATGATGTGAAAAAATATAGTTCTACGTATCAAACTCTAGGGGGAAACTCTACAACTTGGAGAGCTAGATTTGGGGATGGTACACAGGCTAGTGGGATAATTGCTGGTGAAACCGTATGGTTGGGGGATTTACAACTGGATGGGCAGGTGTTTGGTCAGTCGACATTCCATTACTCCCAATTCTACTTCTTCCCATGAAACGATTCCTCATACGTGTGACTACCAGTGATTCGTACAAGAAGGTTCATGTCAAGTGGGCATGTAGCCTGGCCGGAAGCTGATGGACAGGTCTCATAAATGCTACTAATTTAACACTGTCCAGTCAACAAATGTCAGGTATACTAGGTCTTGGTTTTCCTCGGTTATCCACATTATCTCGTGTCATCCTCTCTGGACAGGCGGCTACTTCTTCCTCATCAGCCTCTCCATCATTGAGTTCATCGAATATTGCATCATCTTCATCATCGACCTCGACCTCGTCTTCTCCTTCTTCCACTCCCGCTAGCCTCACTTATCGCCCGACTGTTATGGAACACCTAGCACAAGGGATTTTACCATACCCCGTTTTTGGTCTTGCCCTAGGGCCACCTCCAGTGACCTCTTCATCGACAAGTTCGTCTGCTTCTGCTTCTCCCAGCTCTCGCTATAGTCGTGGAATGGGACTGACTCTGGGTGGAGTATCAGAAGGATACTTTTCTAATGATACTGCCTCTGGTAGGACTATATCAGATATCGAATGGCATGATGTCGTACCATTCGGTGTAAGTTTCAACACGTCAGCGTTCGACCCTATATCCTCTGCAACAACATCTTCCGGGTCATCCCTGACCCCCACGTCACCCTCGTCTTCCCCGTCACCATCGGCCACATCATCTTCAGAGACCGGCGATTCTGATGGAACAAGTGGATCTGACGAAGCAAGTGGGTCCGATGAATCCACCGGCTCAAGAACTGTCACTTCTTCCTCCGGAAACTCTCGTCGTGATTCGGACACGAGCGATTACCCTACCACATCTGAGGAATTGCAGGGGGAAGAGTACATTTTCTGGGCTTTAGAACTACAAAATATTTCAGTGAACGGAACGGTTATCACTCCCAATTCTACCTACTCGGGTCAAGGTTTAGGGAGCATAGCAATTCTAGATGTGGGGAGCAATGGTATTTACGGTCCTCAACAAGATGTGGAAAGGATCTTCTCGAATATGCAAGATGCCAGAGTTGTGAATGATGGGATGTGGGCTGTTCCTTGCAATACGAGGATGACTTTGGGGTTTTCTTTTGGGTCAGCTTCATTTTCTATTCCTTTTGGTACCATGAGCTGACGAATAGAGGACGATATATTCAGCTTCAGCCTTCGGAATGGATGTATGCTCAAGTTTCGGGATCTTCTTTTTGTCTTGCATGGCCTATGGCACGGGTGAGTTCTGATTCTCTCTCTTCTCCTTCATGGGCCAGACCATCTATCCGAGACCCACTCGTCCACGCATCTCTGTGTCTTTCCACGCATAGGTGTCCAGCCTTATGTCGAGGTATTAATGATCCGTTCTGTTAGAGAAAAGATGCCTGACAAATAGCCTGATCAAGGTGACGGTATTGATTGGTCTTTCGGTACTCCATTCCTCCGAAAAGTCTACACGGTTTTCTCATATGGCATCAACAACGTTCAAGCTCCACTTATCGGATTCCTTCCTCTCACCTCTCCCTCTTCTTCGTCCACTTCCACTTCTACCTCCTCAACTTCCTCAACTTCCCCATCCTCTAATGCTCCATCCGCATCATCTATAACTTCAGTAGACCCCAATTCTCCTATACCAACAATCATCTTACCCCTCTCTCTGACACAGACTGTTCAAACTAGATTACCTAATGATCTCCTACCCAATCCTAGTTATTCGACAGTATCTTACATCTGGTCCACTCCTACGCCCACACCAGGTCAATTACAAGCTCAAGGATTAGGTAATAATTCGGTTTACACTATCGAAGATGTACCCATCATATCTTATGCCGTTTCATCGGCGAATAACACGCTTCATCCTGGTTCAACACAAGGGGATAGCCAACCCAGTGGAGATTTCCAATTGAATCGCGGAATATCCTTGATGACATTGATGATGATTGTGGGACTTACGACGCTGTCTTTATCATAATAAAACAAGTGGACAGACGTGGGATCATGTTTTTTTTTCTGTGATGAAAGATGTGAGATGTGTCGATTACGTCATGGAAACGTACATGATAATGTGAAGAGGACAATTCAGGTTTTTGTATCTTTAGTCATTTTAGTCATATGCATCATTGCATCGTTTCCTCTCTCTCAGTCCAACACACACACACACACACACACCCTTCGTCATGGAAATGATCAGATGCCTCTCGTTTGGTTTTTCCATCCGACCTAATCGACTGGTTCATATTGTCCAGGCATCGAGCCGTAGATTTTCTCCGTGAACATCTCATATCGGATCTCTGGACAAAGATCACCTTTCCATCGTCCGTAATCCATTGTCCATCGTCCAACTATGGAGCATGAGATATAAAACTTAGAAGATTATCATTACACTCCCTGGTCATTGATCATCGGTAGTGACGATGTGTCAAGGACGATCCTTTCAGTCAGCTATAAAATAACGACAGTACACCTTCCCATCCTAGATGAAATACGTGTCATCTCATCTTTTCACATATATAGACTATCTGTGTAAAAAGACGGAAGGTTGAGACAACTGATGAGAAAGGTAATGATACGTAAATGAGAAATCAACTCACCTCTCATAAACCAATACGTTCAGCGACCGTCATACCTTGTCTAACTCTTCTATTCTCTTCAGAACCTATAACACCTTCTCCCGTCCCTCGTTCAGTCCCAGTCGGAATTACTCCTTGTTGTGCTCCTTGACCCTGTCTGGCCTGATTTTGAGATGGAGAGAATGGTTGGGTTGACGGATTAGGTTGATCGGTTGGGTTAGTCTGACTCGGTTGAGGGTTCAGGTTTGGACGGGAAGATTGGAGAAGTTTGAGGTCTGATGCTCTCAGAGGGATGGCGGTAGGGTTTGATCGTATCATCTTGGTTCGACCTGTTTTCTCCTCTGACAATTTTGGTCTTCTTAGAGTTGTTTGACACCACGCAACCGCAGCAGATTCAACTTTGGTGTTGTGATCGAAGTCAACCGTGGGAAAGGGAAATCTTCCAAAAATGCAAGTGAGTGGGCGAATTCAGCAACGAGAACGAACTGGTCAAGGTGTATGGTGATAAGTACGTGTATTGCATACAGAGACTACTAGCTACATGCCACATACACTCTCAATCGACAGGCTCGAACACTGGGTCTCTTCTCTTTCTCGTTCCTCCTGCATTCGACCCAGAAGCACCTCCTACACCAGCACCAACACCTTCATCTTTACCCATCCGTCTAGTCTTGTACACCCTCCCTTCCATCCTTTCCCTCTCACGAACCTCATCAACGCTTGTCCCACTGAACCAACTACTCCATGCTGAAGACGTCTTGGGTTTGGGAAGAAATTCGCCGCCGTCGGGCATAAGGAGGATGTGGTATTTCTGAGCCGAGGGGGCTGAGAGAAGCCATTCTTCAAGTAAGGAGAGATTACGTAGGTTGGACTTGAAGAGGTTGTCAAGGACGTCACCGAAGAGTGGAACGAAGCCTATGATCACGTCGAGAATAACGTTGAGGAGCTGAAAAGTCAGCGGAGATGTCACATATACCACGTCTGTGTGCATATTCTGGAACAAAAAGGCAGAGCTACAAGCTGATATACACGGGCCACGTCGTGCATATACAGGCACTCAAAAGAGAATTGAAGCAGAGATCATAAGGCGGAGGAAAGGAAAGAGAGAGATGAAGGGTAGAGGAATGCCACCCACCATCCGCCCTAGGATCTCATAAGGTACACCATAGATGAAACTCAGCCAGACTTGATACAGCTGCAACACTCCCGACAGGATATCACCATAGATAGGTACGAGCGAGATAATATCGTCCAATCCAGCCTATCGGTCAGACCCGCCACGTTGGTCTGCACATAATTACTCACTCGGAAAGGCAAGCCTAAATCAGAAAGCAGTGGAGCGGCGTCCAGCCAAAAAGCAACGGTTCGGACGTGATTATACAACCTCTCTCGTTAGCTGATAATGCGTTCAACTTCAGCCACCAGGGGAAGAATGGGAAACGGGAAGTGATCAGGGTCATGCTAAAAGCGATGAACATTCTCCATTCCCCCAAAGGGGTCGGAGCGATTCTGAAGCATCATATCGGTAGAAGTGTTGTGAAGAAGAAGAAGTGAGAATGACAATACTCACCGCTGTGCTTCTTTGTCCGTTCGAGGACGAACGATAGCATATCCCGGTGGGATATAAGTAGGTTCAAAAGCTCCAAAACGCTCGGGCGCCCTATCTTTCTGCGCTCTAAACATCAGGTCAACAAGCAGCGTATCGGGAAAACGTTGACTCACTGGCGAGTTCGAGCTGCGTTGGGACGATAGGAAGATAAGATAGGCCAAATAGACCCGAATATACCTGACATGATCAAGATGGATGGGATTACATTGTGGAAAGAGAGGAAGGAGGCGAGGGAACGAGGACGGAAAGGATCGATGACATCAGTTTCGTCGGTTCAATGGGGCGCGTGGGCGTTTGTGGCACTTTTGCCCATGTGGCGGATGGTTAGCGGCTCTGTAAGTGAAGATGCCGTGACGATCGGAATGATGAGAAGGCTCGCGACACTGGGCGCTGTGGAGCAGGGCAACAGCTCAAAGTGCAGAATAAGAATGCATATGCCCCAACATGAAAGGTGGGGAGCAACAGACTCGCATCATTCACATTGGGACACGACCAACCCGAAATCCAATCGAGCGATTATTGAAGGTGAGTCTTCCTTGGAACATTCAGTTTCAAGTGAAACTCTCGAGCGTTTCCGGTGGCTTTGACCCCAGACCAAAAGTTCTTTGCTGTATGAAACGACTTTGAACTGTCTACAATGATTTTAGATAATCAGGTCAGGAAATCTAGACATGGGTCATGCATGTGTCAACTATACCCCATTCCCCCACGTCGATCGAACACCGAGAATCGATCACATCATGGATCATCTCGTGAACAATGAAGCCGTATCGGATGGCTCCCATTGATCGGGTCTAAACCTTCATTAACCATCGGATTAAAGCGTTTAGACCGACGGGTCAAACGGCGGTACGGCGGGACAGGGGTATTAGTGGTCATTCCGAATTCTTCCTCATTCCTACCATTCCCCCACATTCCTCCCCATTGTGAGGACCTCCTTTCATCTCTTCACCTCCCTCTGCCTTCTTCAAGAGCTTCTTGATCAGGGCTATATCCTCTCTCTTCAAAACCATCAACGCTCAAGGGTCAGTAAAGGGCTCATTGACCGTGTAACGAAATGACACTGAACGAATGGCTCCGAGAGTTGGCGGCGTGAGTCGTCCTTCCTCTGTCACCTTATCACTTCTCTCTCTCGCCCCTTCTCTTCAAGCTTCTGCTGTCTCCTTCCCTTCCAATTATTCCGTATACTCCGTGTCCACCCTCGCCTCGTCCACTGAGTTTGATTTGACTGATCATGAGGCTGATAACGCAGCTCCGGTAATCTGCCTAGAGATGCGGAGACCAACGCTCTCGACCATCCTCTTTACGACGAGAAACCCGTCATCATCTTCCCACTTTCCAAGGTGGTGAAAGCTACCCCTAAAACCACCCCTTTACTACAGCCAATTTCCTCTCAGACATTACCATTCCCAGATCTGCTCCCGCAGATAGCACACAACAAGGATATTAGCAACACCTCGAATACTCAATCCCACCTCGATGACCTTGTCCGATCGGCACCTTCTCCAACAAATCGTCACGCGCGAACTCACTCCCAACCCATCAACATTCCTCACGCCCCACTTACGAATAACGATAAGACGTCTTCCAGCAATACTCCCCCAGCTGATTCGGTGCCCAGTGATCCACTCGAAGACCCCTCTAGTTCTTGTCCTAATACACATGCGAGCCAATTATCAAGTGGAGAGAAAGGTTGGCCCATCATTCCTCTTCCGCGGCCCGCTTCTGGGCAGGTAACAGCTACCAATTCAGTAGAAGAAGAACGTGAAGCGGCCCGAGAGGCTCAAATTCATGCTGCCCTGTCTAATCCTCGACTCACTTATCCTATTCCCTTCTCCACACCAAAATATACCACCTCACCAGACTTGATGATGGGGATTCGACCTCCAAATAGCTCCTGTGACACACCGTTTCAAACTAATGATGACGAGCTGTTGCAACAGGGGTGGACGACAGATAGCATACACACCTGGAGAAGCACCATCCTCGATAGGCAGATGTCTGAATCTACTTCGTCCGATTCCTACGCCGGATTCACTAGTCCGAGCGACGGCGAAGATCCGACAAAGACCCCTATAGCGTACGATTTCGGGTCGGACATGCCGACGACATCCCCAAAACGATCGAATGGTATTACGAGGGTTTCGGGTACCCCTCGCCATGGTACGCTATCACCCGGTGACTTCCTTGATGATTTGGGACTGAAAGATGGTTTCCAGAGTCAACCTTCGAGTGAAATGGTGTGGGCGAACCGCGGCATCACTCGAATGTCGGTCGTGACCGCAGGAAAAGCTCTCTCACTGGCCACCCAGAGTGATATTGAAGTGAGTTGTATCGCAGCCACATGCAGGTCCCTCCCCCGAGATTCGTATTGTAACGGCCATCTCTGACTAGCAGCATTATCTCTCCGCGCGAACGAGCATGCCATTGGAAGTGCCGCCAACTTTCGATCTCGACTGCTCCGAGAGTCCCGAGTCACAAGCAAGACTCTTACTTTCGTCTGTAGCCGGCAGTCCTGCTTCTCCCCACTCGGATCGTCCATATCGCTGGAGAAAACAAACTACCGACGCATTTCCAACCGCCTATGTCGCCATTCGTGAAGCTGAAAGTACCGATGCAGAGAGAGACGCAATCGCTTTCCATGTGCGCGATAGACGTGGCAGTCGTCGGTCTCGTCGTATTCCTTCCAAGGGCACCATGGCCGGACGCCATTCGCACTCCGTACCACTCAGTCGTTCAAGCACTTGGCTTTACAACAGTACCACATCGCCTTCCGCCACTGAGCTCGGACAAGTGTATGAAGAACCTCCGAGATTTCCCCCACTTCGCGAAGACGCATACCCGGATCTTGTCACTTCGGTTTCAGAAGATCATTTACACCGCCCCCCGAAGATCAATCGTTCCAGACGTTCGCTAGATTTGGCTGAGATGGGGAAAGTTCTGAGTGGCTTCCGTTCCGGGCAATTCGGGTTCACTCCCATTGTGGCCGACAAAGTCCCAATAAAATTCCCATCGTTCACTCATCCTTCAAGTAGAATCACTTCTCCCTTCGACACCAGCTCGGACGAGTCGGATATTGAGCGCAGCGCAAATAAAAGATTACGACGCACCCCTCGTTATCCTTCAAAGTCCCTTCGAGAATATCGTCGAGTCACTCCATTTAGCTCCGCACTCTTGCCCAGACGTCATAGCGAACAATCAGCTCATCATTCCGTCCGCAGGTCTTCGTCGTCTGCTTCACTGCCTCATCAAAAAGTGAGATTGCACGTCTCGGCCCCGACAAGCAGGATGAACAATTTTCCCGTTGGAACATACGATACCATCACTACTCTTTCGCGCCGACGTGTTCGCAGATCCTCAACACCAACTCGGATCCCGACGACTCCTCCCATTCTTCCTCGGGTCCCCACACCCACCATATCACATCCATCCCGAGTCACTCCAACCCACACAGGTGGGGGATCTGAACAGACGATGATACCGGCAACCGATGTGCAGGTGAACCTTTTGCCCATCCTTCTGGCCATGTTTTGGCTGATGATTGCGCTTGTGAGAGAGGTGGTAGCACACATCCATCGTCGAGCCAGACACAGGAGGGTGATATGAGACAGAGTAAGGAACTAGGATGCTGGTGTGTATATTAATGGCGAGAGTATGGAACAAGGTGTGTATGGAGGATGTCGAGGACGGTGATTACGATGTTAATACAACGATGGACATTTCGGATTGGACGTATGTTTGTGATTTTGCGGTTTTCGGGTTTTGACATGTTGATGTAGCTTGTAGCATGTGAACAGAATAGTCAGTCACGATCATGTGTAAGACATGTATCACATATCAAATACTGGACATCAGGCAATATACTCCTTAACGCAGTCCGCAAGACAGATATGTAAAATGCCAGAATTATTCGTTAACAGAGGTGAGATTATAGAAGTTTCAAGGCGCCAGTAACTTGATTGATGAGTTTGGCCGGTCCGCTGTTTCTCAGATCCGAACGTTATCATGCAGTAGATGACTTACGGTCCAATCCCCAAGATCGTTTTAGAACCAGGTGCGACTTGTGTTCTTCCTCTGCGGGGTCAGACCATTTCATACGAAAGCGTCGTGTTCATGAGACTATCAAGGGATGAAGGAATGACTTACGCATCTTGAATCATACGTGCACATAAGTTTAGAGATCTTGCTCGAGCAGCTAGGGATTCGAGTTCTTCGGTAGATGAACATCGAACGGCGATTTTCGGTTGGCTATGATGAGCATGATCCCGACATGGATCCGGTGTGACAAGCGATCCTTTCGGATAGGTTTGGTGGTCGGGCTTATGCTACACAAATTTGGATGTAAAGTTACCGAGCAAAATCAGGTTTTGTTGGGGAGGAAAAAGTCTTGGTAGGAGCTCACCCTTGTGCTTGCCATTTTCTGTATAGCTGAGACGTCAGCGCTGAGCTATTCTCTCATTGTGTACCCCCTTGAGGCGGTGAACCAAATGCTCCAGCTATCCCCCACCGATGAAGATGTGAACTGACCCCGGTTCAATCTCTTCAATCTCTCATGTTGGACAACGGTAAAATATGAATGACAGTAGCAAACAGTCACCAAATTTATTCAAGGGAAGAAGTCATGGACATACTCTCGGATTAGCCCCTCTAAGAGTATCACAAGCAGCCAAAGTAGCATGTCCAGCTTGAGCAGCTATCTTCCCTTTACTCATCTTCAAACTATCATTAACCACCAAAACCAATTTCATTTCTTCCATCATTCCAGCTTTTACACTCCCCAAATCTGATCCCAAAGCTACAGTCTCATCTTCGCTATCTGACTCAGGATCCGAAGCTCCCTCAGACAGACGAGGCTGGTTCGCATCTGTGAGATCGACATCGATTGTTTTGTTTGAACGTGATTTGGATGATTTTGGTCGAGGTGGAGAAGCAAAAGATTGAGAAGGAGAGAAGAAAGAACGAGTTTGATAGCCTATAGCGAAGGCGATAACACTTATTAATATTGGCTGAAGAACTGAGATTCAGTTTTAAGTTGACATATTCAGGTTTAGATAGGCAACAAGGGAGAAGAAGGAGAAGGAGTTGAAGGTGACTTACGGGACATGTTAGGAGAACGAATTGACATGCTCTGACTTTGGTGTTGTATCTCCAATCACCTTTCTTCGATATTTCGAGTAGAATTTGTAGAGGAGCACTCAAGAAAGGACTTGGAGTTACGAAAAGAATGGAAAGGAGGAGTAAGATAGGAAGGAAGCGAAAAATGTTAATGTTTCGAAAATAGAAATTTCGACGCTCGCTTGTCTCCTTTCAACTTTGACCTTATATCTTCGATCGAAACAAATACTAGTCTACATAGTACTTCTGTTATCTTGTAAAAGCTCATATTTTTGATATCCGAATTATCCACGACTCTCAAAAAGTAACAAGACCGCCGAGAATCAGAAAGAAAATGGCCGTCGTTTATACCACCACCGGAACGGTATCTTCACCTCTTGACTTGGACCATCAGGTGAAAGGGGAATATCAACAAATACAACTTAATGGGAATTCGAAGAAGGGTATGAAATTGAAGCCTAAGGTCACTTTGACAAGTCTGACAGTGAACAATGTGAGTCATACATACCTCTCATCCCTTAATGAACATACTCGATCCTCCCCCGGTTTCTCACGAACATCCTCATCCTACAAATTTGAGGTGAAACACCTTCTATCATTGAGGATTTTGGCACTCTCAAATCTCGTACCATCTGGATACACTGACATTTGACACATTACTATCTAATCATGACTATCTATCCAAGTCTACTTCATGAATGATGAAATCTTGTGTTGAGGATTCAGGTTGAAAAGATATCCCGGGAGAAGGAAAGTTAACGGACAGAGTGGTACTTTACGCAAAATCAACTCCGTCGTCATTCCTATCGTCTACTCTGATAAGTTTTACAAAGACGTACTTTCTTCCGACCTGGAAGAAGTTAACAAACTCATTTACTACGGTGATATTCCCGTTGGCGCTTGTTGTTGTCGGTTTGATAATCTCAATTCTACCAATGGGGAGAAACCTCCCACTTTAGTTATTCTGACTTTAGCGTGAGTACTTTCTCCCAATGCACCTTTACGCTCTTTTTCTCACCCATATTCTCACCCTTCTTTGCACCCTTTTTCTCACCCTACTTTCGCTTTGATCTTCCCTAAACCTCCATTTCGCATTCCAATACACCCAGTCCCTCGTCCTCCATGGTCGGACCAGGTCGGATTTATTCTCCAACCGCAGGGATCTGACAAAACGACCGTGAGAAGTTCTGGAGATGCTGCGTGAAGTCATCGTCGAATGAGAGAGGTGTTCGACACCGCATACAGAAGTATGAGAACGACTCATGTCTGATAATCAGGGTTTTGGCTCCTTATCGCTCCTTAGGCTTAGGCCGCGCTCTACTCCTACACGCTCTCAAAGAAGCTCTTCATCCCACTACCCCTCCTCCGCCTATACCGAACAAAGACAAACCTACTACTCGTGGACAAGTTGCCCCATCTCCCCCGCGGAAAAGTGTCAAAAGAGCTCTGGTACATGTTCAAGAAGGTAATGAAGGAGCGAAACGGTTTTATGAACGACTAGGTTTCAAGGAAATCGAACGGTGTGTTCATTGTCCTCATTGCATTTTTTGTCATCTGTCTTTTCTGTCAATTCCACACTCAAAGCGACCCTTTTCTCAAGCTTGTTAGCGGGTTTGATCCTACGTTTCATCAAAGAAGGCAATGTAGAGTGGGATGGTTTAGGATGATGAATGACTGACTATCAGTGTGGAGAACTTTTACTCCAAACTTGAACCTCGTCATGCTATCTTGATGGTCCTCGACGATATTGTTTCAACCCTGGGTGAAACACTTAACGGATCATAATTCATTCCAAGATAATTTGCCCCCCCCTAGTATCTTGCACATATCATCATGCACATCATCTCATGCCCTCTCCTTTAATTGGCAGTGCATGCACTGATTCTAAGCAAAGTAGCGTGAAGCAGTCATGACTATTTCAGAGACGCAAAAGTGCTGATAAACTCGTCATAGGATTACATATTCTAGTCCTGGGCGACCGCCCACATTTTTAGATCTCTCCCATTCCCCATTTTTCGCCTCCTGGGCTCTTGTCTCGTGAACTAGATCGCTTGATACCCAAAATCATGTATCATGAATTGATACTCTCTCTTTTTCTATCTCTCTTTGTTGGATTCGCCTTACTTCCTTGCAGATTACCCCTCGCGATTCTGTACGTCTAGATTCCTAAAGTCTTTCACTGCCATCCATCCCCCCATACTCTTCATCCCAACTACAAAGCCCCGGTGCCACACATTGACATCTCCACCATCACCCAAAGAGCCCGATTTTCGGACGCGTATGTATCTATCATCTCTTCCGTTTCCCTAACAGTTTCTTCACAAACATAGTCCTCAATCCACTTCTCTTCAATGCCAGATAACAATCCGCCAAAGCGATATCACCCGAGAATTCACTGACAATATCTACCATTTCTTCATCTGTGAGATCCTTTTCTCCAGCTTGCAATTCCAATATCGCCTGTGTCCGTCTTTGTGCCTCACTCAATCCAGCGGCACGGACCTCCTCTTTCAAAGGTGGTGGACGAACCGGGGATGCAAATGCCGGAGGAGGTTGAAGAGTTGAATGATTCTGGCTGGACATATGCGCGGAAGACAGTGTGGTGCTGGTGGGCGAATGATGCGGCATCATTGATTCCATAAGTGTCGAAGATGCACTGAAATCTGGCGAGTGCGATTGCGACAGAGGGAAGTAAGGTGTTGACAAGTGTTGCGATTGAGTGCGATGAGTAGATTGATTGAGAGAGTCTGGACCGGGCGGAGGTTGAGGAGCGATGTTAGACCGGGAAGAATGAATGGGGAGAGAAGTACGAGAGCGTTTGGTAGGAGAATGACGGCTCTGCAAAGAGATGGACGAAGTCTGGGTCTGCGACTGATTGAGAGAATGAGATTGAGGATGAGTGTTAGGCGTAGAGGTGGACATAAGTGAGGGATCGTAGGACAATCTTTTGGGAGCCACAAGATATTGTTGTTGCTGGTCCTAGATGTCAGCAACACTAACAAATCACCATAGTCAATCTCAAGGGATTCCACGGAGGCGAAGATGATTGTCTAAATCTAAGCTAGCAGGAATAAGAGATGCGAATCATGACAAACGTACAGTGTCCGTCATTGTGAAAGATGCCTCAAATTCCCCTTCTCCGTCTTCCTCCGCACCTTCCCAGCCCATCAGTCCCGCCGCAGTCCCCATTTGGCCATGTCCTGTGGTCATCGTATGTTGCGCTAGCGTTCCGTGACCAGTGGTCCCCACCAAATTCACCCCATTCGAAACCTCTTCCGCCAGTGACAGATGTCTTTGGCTCTGACTGTGAAGGCCTCCATTCGTCATGTTCATCTGGCCGTTCGCGCCATCGTGACCGCCATTCATGGGTCCGCCCATTGCATTCGCCGAAGCTTGTCCAGTGGTGGAAGAAATGCTTAAGGATAACATGGAGCCCGAGTCGGAACTGGCCTGTGATGGTCGAGTACGAGTGCGCGCGCGTACACGGGGATTATCACCGGCGCAGAGAATAGCGAGAGCGTCGTAGCATGGAAGGTGGATACGGGCGTACTTGTACGGCTCAAGTTGCTGTTTGCATCAGCTTTTCTCTGCGACGGCCTCCTCCTAAGTTGAAGTATTTGTAGGTGAGATTGGACTGATGAGATGAGAGCACGAGAGAGATAAGTGACGCACTCTAACAGCGTTGTCCCACGCCTCGGGTAATGCTCTCAAACGATGAGTTGATCGGTCCCACTTGACGCCAGGCATGGTCTCCATCTCCTTTGCAGCTCTGTAGTCCCGTTGAATCTGACATCAGCGCATGCCTTGGGCTGAGCAGTGCCGGGTCTCGAAAGGGGGGGGGGGGCGGGGGGGAGTTATCCCAAGTCAAATAAGATGCAAGACGTAGAAAACGGTTACTTACCCTCTGCCAACGACTTTTGCAAGCCTCAGCCGTCTTGGGTCCTCCGACGAACGTGCTGTTCTGTAAAAGACCAGCAGCCTCCTGCCACACTTCGAGCTTAAAACCATAGTCCGTGGTTCTTCCCGTGTCTTTGTACCGCATTAAAACATTGACGAGAGTGTCGGTATCCTGATCGCTCCAATTTGCCGACTTCTTCCTGTCGGCTTTACCGATTGACCCCTCCCCGTTCGACCCTGGCATGCCGCGAGGTGCCTGTTGTCGCCAAGCTCAAGCAGTCTGATACGGTCACACGAGACAGAAGATGATGTTGAGGGATATATGAGGTGTGGTCAGAACATGACGTTTGTACCGTCCTACTTGGTGAGTGGGAAGCTGATGGGTCGGACGAAAGTCGACCGAGGAAACTCACGCAATCAAGATACTGAAAGGACATTCAATTTTCTGTAAGTAGCTGAAGGGTCGAAGCGATAGCGTTTCTAAGCTCGACGGAGTGGCCTATTGATACCTATCAGCTATGGAACACTCCACGTTGATGTCTCAATAAGTCGATAGTCTACATACATATCTGCAGCATGCAGCAGGACGATATCCCGAGTTTATGACCGGGGATGTAGAAGAGAAAGCCGAGGCAAGTTTGACAGAGGAAAGATGATGGGCAAAACACTCACAGTCCCACCAGGGGTTTTGGGGTCTTGTGGGTGAAGACAGAGCAGTCGACCAGTGTCTATACGAAGCAATAGTTGGGAAAGAAACAGATAGAGGGAGATAGATGATGAGGCTGTCAAGGGTCAGTCAAGGATCGAGGGAGAAGCAAGGTACCCCCAAATTTGGGCAAGATGCAGCCATCCAGCCAAAGGGGAGGCCATGTCCCGGAGATGTCCCGATCCCCTTCCACGTCATAATTTCTTGCACCGGCAGGAGGCTTATCACACCCTCCCCCACCTTTTCCCCACTCGCTACCACGCAGTCACTTAACTGACTGTTTGTTACCCTTTTCGATTTCAGTGATCAGTACTGCGCCATGTTTGTTTTGTTCGACAATAGGCTGTGTTTACTATGCTACTCATACAACCTGCATTCCGCCATTGCTTGGATCGGTCACTCTTCCGGATGGGAAGTCTTCTGGGACGGGCTTACGCTCACAGCCTTGATGCTACCCTTCACCTCCAACAATCGCACATATAACGCTCACAATTCCGCAACATGACCTACACGCCTCTGTTCATCGACTCAAATTGTACGTTCCAAAAGCTACTCGCTGGCATCCGACCAAAGACCTAGCTTGTACGCTCGCACCCCTCAGCCCGAAAAACGTAAACACTATTCTCTGCTCCACACCATGAAATACCTCGCGGCCTTCTCTTTGCTTCTAGCCACTGCTCCCTCCTCTCTGGCACGGCCTCTCTCTGCGTCGCATATCATCGGCTCGGACAAACTGCAATATTACGCGATTCGGCTGGTCAGTCCTCACGATGGCTCGTCCCTCGGGGTGATCTCTCTACCTGCCTCGAATTTGGAAGGCAACGACTCCGGTGACCTGTAAGCTGACCCATCATTTCGAGAAGTCGCTGATCATCAGTGTAAGCTATGCTTCGGATATCACCAAGGCGTTGAAATTTGGCTTTCCGAGGGCTCAAGCTGACCCCTTAATCCCGTTTGAGATCACCCCAGTGAGTTCAGAGCGTGTCATCTCTGATCACATAGCTGACGTGTAGTTCAGAGAGCCTGGACGCGGTAGCGTAATCTCATCCCTCTTGAGTGTAATGGGTGAACATGACCTCGCTCCGGGATATCCCCAGTGCGTTTCCCTCTTTACTCCTACACGCCATTCTCCCACACATTGATCTCCTCTGAACGAGCTGATGAACAGTTTCGCTGGATTAGGGATGGCTCACACCGATCCTGACGGATTTCTATCTCTCGACCTTCCGTTGGACCTTTCGTACGATTATATGGTCGAGGATCCTGTATTCGATCATCACTCAGAAACCCTCCTCGCTCAGGCTGGAGGTCAAGATTCACTCCACAACAATCAACCTTTCTCTTCTTCTGACTCTCACTTTGATGAGTTTACAGGTTCAGAGGATGAACTCTTGTCAGAGCCATGCGGTATGCCCCAGTCAGCCATCTGGTCTTTCGAACCTAGCTCAAAGAAACTCTTCGCAAGATACGTCAACTCAGACGGCCGGTCGGTGCCGACCAAATTTGTGACTGGTGGGGGGTGCCAACACTTCATCTGTCTCGTGGCCGACGTGCACGCGTTCCAGGATGTTTTTGGTGAAGAAGCATCAGAGGTGGTGAGTATTTCATATTGGTCACTGCAATAAGAAGCTGATCATCAAGGATCTCATGGCCACAGCCCTTGGAAAGCTCACAGAGTGAAGAAGTGATTTTTCCGTGAGGATAGGGGACGATCTTGATCGCGACCTAGGATTGAGTGATTACTAGATATGATAGATCACAAAAGTACAATTCAATGCAAGCAATAAATACCATCACAACGTCATCTGGAAGAAGGAGAGTGGTAAACCAGAATCACTATGTAGTATCCATCACTAACGACCTCTCGGAATCGCCCCCAAATGACCCTCTCCCACGATGACCACCAATCTTCGGTGTCTCAACTGAAGGACGCTTCACTTTGGTACATTGACTTCGTGGGACCTGACTTTTCATGGGCGACGGAGTCACCTCCTGATATCGACCTAATTCCAAACAGGGACCCCACTAAGTCATGACCCTGCAGGAACACTGATGGAGCGCAGAAAGGGTCGTCGAAGCAGTTCATGTGTTCATCACTTTGGAATGTTGAGCTTAGGTGCATCCGATCTCATGGAGACGGCTACGAATGTCACCGGCAGCTTTGGGGGAAGTTCACCCGGAGGTTTAGAAGGAAGGGGATGTGTCAGATCCTTTTTGGACCAAGCACCACCTTCTGACAAAGCGGGTCCACAGATGAGGGCGGGTGGGACATTGTCTGAGCGATCATCATTAGTGAACAGCGTTTTGGAATATTCTGTGTCGCAAGGGCTAGGGAAGACGGTTGATACAGCTGCTTGAGGGGAGAATTCCTCCGAGAGGTTTGAAACCCCAGATACGTGTGACAGAGATTGTTGATCTCTTTTTCGATTATAATAGAAGGCTTGGAAAATCTGCTCAATGGCAGAGCGTGGAGAGTCATCTGTGTCTGGCAAGATGGAGGTCAGTGAGACGCTCAATTCGTCGGACAGGCCAAGAGTGCTCGTCAGATCCATAGAACAAATCTGAGACTGCCAATTACCTGTACTCTGGCTGTCTGGGCCTTCTGGCCATATTGGCAGGAGAATTTTATAATCGTGTGTGACATCACTACACATGCCCCACTGACGACTCTCTGCCTCCTTGCACGTCATCTGCACATGTTTTGTGAGGGTGCAGATGACATTGATAGTCCTCATCATCAGTATAGTGACTCGTATAGCTTCTTCCAGCGAGGAGCGATCTTCTTCCTTGAGGTCGTCCTCCCGCTTTGACTCAAGATGAGTGAGTACTCTGTACAGTGCTACTATGGTCTCTCGTGCGGGCTGTTCAAAATGCCGCCAACTGACCGCTCGGAGTGGGACAACATTCTTAGTGCTACCAGAGATATGTCTTCCAGCTTGGCCTTGGAGATCAAGTACCTCTACTACTGATGTCAGAGGTTTGATAGAAATACTGTTCTTGTATTGGGTAGGAATGAACAACACTGCACGATTGTTGTTCTCATTATACGAGACTACGAGCTCCAAATGATAAGCTTTCGGCCAGCCAAAGTAGATGTCCAGGTCATTGCTTCGAGGGTGGACAAGAGAGGTAGTTTCTATACCATTTCGGCTTGGTGGTTCACCTGATGATAATGTTCGAAAGCGAGGTGGGGGAGGTTTTCTCATGAGCGTATGAAGTTTAGGAACGGATGGATGAAACGGACAAGACCATTCAATCCTGATGAGACGGATGGAGGGTAAGTAGGGAAAATCGACGGCGTTTCAATCAACTCATTGGGCGTCATCGCCATCACTATCAAGGGATAGCGTGGGAAGATTTCCTTGAACTACATATTGTGACAGCTCTACAGGAAGCAGAATGTCATCAAGAAGACAAATGAGATGGATGGTCCTGCTACTATTTACGACGGATCTCGGTCAAAAGGACAGGGTATAATATAGAAAATCGAAGGCACTAGCATGAAAAATGGTCGAGATCCGAAAGGATGGCCTGAATGATCGGATCATACTAACCACACTAAATACACTCTACGAGTACGAGTACTGTATGATCTATGAGCAGTCCGATGTTTGTGCCTGTAGGGCGGTCATTGCATGAGGAGAACCACCCCGTCGTTCTTAAGTCCCATTTGTGTACTTTTGACAAAAGCTTGCTAGCAGCTCAGAGTCCCTAGCGAGGAGGCGCGGATCGTCATACTGAACCAAACTTCGCGCACGACATCAGATCTCTTCACGCACGACACTGTCACGTGATCTTGTTAGGCATGCATCTTTTTTTTGTTAGGCGTGCAGACCACGTGACCTGCAGGAACCTCCCTTCCAACCTCTCTGTCCTCTGGTCAAAGTGAGTAAACCGTGATAATTTAAAAGTCCATGATATCTGCATGTCTGAAGAACTGACCGAGATACATCGATCTACCTTCCACCCCCCTGTCCACCGGTGGAATCCTGTTGTCCTCGCCTATACTCCCCAGGGGGGAATTCCTGTCTCATACCACCGTTCCTGGCTGCTAGGACACTCCTTTCTGCGGAGTTTGAGCCATTTCCGAGCCCCTCTTGAACATACGGAGGCGGGTACACAGGTGGATAAAAGGTAGGTGGAAAATTCGAATAATTCGACACAGGAGGGTACGTAGATGGCCTCTGGTACCAATTACATGGCCCAGGGGCTCCTGGGACGAAGTGGGGAGAAGGGTGGAAGGGATAAGGATGATGTTGAGGTATTATCTGCTTGAATCAGCCAGGAACTTTGACCTGTGGACCAGGAGAAGTGGTAGGACAGATTTCAATGGAGTGCGTACCTGCAGGCCTGTCCCCATCCTCTCTGAGGCCGTCCTCGCGATCACAGGAGCAGTACTCGCTATCACAGGCTGTGTCATCATCACAGGAGGCCTCTCCACCATCCTTTCTGCATTTCCTTCTCTCTCTGCTTGAAATCGAGCTAATAACTCTTGTTCTCTCGCGGCCACGGCTTTTTTTGCTGCACACATGTAGGTAATCGCGTGTCGCTTGGTACAGAGGTCGCATTTAGAAGGGAGAGGACGTGGAGGAGCAGATTGTTCGCTTTGTGATAGAACCCGGCCAGTACTGGCTCGGGGAGGACGATTACCTGACGATTTTGCGACCTGTGAACCTGTATATTGCGAGGGGGGGGGAGGGAGAGAAGGAGTAGGCCTAGGGGCAGCATACATTGGTGTAGCTCGAACCACTGTTATCCCTGGCGGGGCCTGCGAAGCAGCAGCTTGGGTGGCAGAGGCCCGAATAGCCATCCTCGCACGGAGACCAAGATTAACAGGGGGATCGAGTATGAAATCGCGAGAACCGTTTACTACCTCGAATTCGTCTTCAAGTCGATGAACCCCAATGGCCCGAAGAGCAGTGGGTTGAACTCTGTTATTGGTATCTTCAAGAAGTTTATCGAACCCGCCGTCAGGGAGTAATCGCCAGTGGTGGTGTATCTGATTGATAGTGAGTACCCCATCATTTCTCATGACATTCAAGATCATATGAGCACAGGGGAGACCCATTGAGGCTAAAAATCGTCCTGAGCAATGGTGTATTCGGTCTGGCTGACGTAGAAGTTTGTTGGCAATGAGAATTTGATCCTGGAGGAAGTTCGTAGCAAATTTAGAGACATCTCGGTTTATTACACTGAGTATTCGATCCCCTATGGCTGATCGTACTGTTTGCTGACCATTTTTCAATGTGATACTGTCCCACTGTCTGTCCAGGAAACGATCTACCTGAGGGATCACTTGCCAGAGCGTTCCGGTATGACTCTTCAAGAAATCCTTGAAGGAACGATGTTCTCCCTCATTCCTGGAGGTCGTATGTTGATGTAGATTGCGATTTTGGTTCGTATAGGCCCAGGCCCACTTCTCCTTCGAAATTAACAGGTTTTCAAGGTACCGAATCGCTGGAGAGTGTTCAGGCTTCGAAAATTCCTCTTTTATCTTGTCCATCCCTTGCTGAATCTTAAAATCGTCTTGAGCCTCAACCACTTCTCTCATCCACATGTCCCCAAACCTCTGTCTTGCCAAAATCGTATTCTCCTCTCCCTCAAAGCAGTTCTTCTTATCACATAGATGTTTAACATTTTCTCGCAGGTGCCAGGTACAATACTGCTGCTTCGCATTTGGTAGGTGTTTCTTAAGAGCGTTGGCTAAGGCTACTTCGCGGTCGGTTATTACGACTTGAATTCGATGTTTCAAGGGACCAATCAAGTCCAAAAAACTCTTGATTGCGACCCCGTACCAATCTGTAGTCTCGCGATTGATAAAAGCAATAGCCGCAGTAAAGGTGAGGTTGGTTGCTGTCATTCCTGTGATGTGGAGCATTGGAAGACGATACCTGTTGGTATTATAAGTGCAGTCCATCATGAGGACGGTGGGATAAAGATGAACCAGAGCTCTTACTTTATAAGTCGTGTAGATGAGACCAAGAGCTTCATTTCTCGAATTAACCAGGCCTTTGAAGAGGCGTTTTTCTCTTTCAAGATGTAAAAACAAACTTTCGGTTGCTGATCTTCCACTCATTCGGTTCTTCTCATACCTCCACTTGAAATTTGATACATCTACCGGGGTGAGAAGGGGTTTATCAGGGTGTTCCTTGAGTAAATCGATGATCTGGTGGACAGAGAACCCTTTATCAATGTATTCTTGTAAAAGGGAAGTAATCTGCGGGGTTCGCGAGTGTTTTCGAAGGTGTGAGATAAGCAAACTCTTGACAGGAGGGTGGTTATGTTCATTACACACTGTCTCTAACAGTATTGGTCGAAATCCATCTGCCAGGGCGTCTTTCTCTGTAACTCTTGAGAGCTTTAGTCGAAATGGACAGCCTAAACGCTGTGTGTGAGGCTGACGGGTTCGTACCTTCTCGAATTTAGCAGAGCGACCTGAGCGATATTGTCCTCCAAATACGCAGTTCATTGTCATGTGTTGACGATTTAGGTTACTTGAATCGGTTACCAAGGCGAACCCCTTGTTCTTGACCATGACATCGAGTTTATTGCGAGCAAGACTGATAGATATCTGTGGGGGAAGGGTTAAGGGAGCATGAACAAGTTTGGGGACACGGGTATGGGGGCCAAATTCGTCTTCTTCGATATTGGGCTCAAAATTGGTGTTTTCTTCGTCATTGTCGTCTGTTAAGGGTGCAGGAGGGGCAAAATAGTCGTCTGCACTACTAGGGGAGGCAGAGACTGAGTGTATATCGCGTAATGATGTTGGGGAACCAGAGGGGGAGGAAAATGGCGAGTTATCTTGCTGAGTCTCTGGTATAATGATCTCGGACGGGGTAGACGGGGTTTCTTGCTTTATAAGTGGTGAGAGGGATGGAGGGAGAGGCGGGAATGACCACTCATCACCGGAAGAGTCGCAGAGATCGATAGGCTGGGAGGAAGACATGATATTAAGAGAGATAAAAGACTAAAAACATCAGTTTTCCTGGGAGGACAAGTGTAGAAGGAGGTACCTACCAAAATGCGGATATCACAATGTAATTCTAATGGGATACGTAGTAGAAAGGGGTAATAATGTGCGCTGAGAACAACGGGCAGGGTTTTGAGCCTGTAGCTTGTCTCCTGAAGGTGTGAGAGACAGACGATGTAAAGTGATGTTGGTTGATGTTGGTTGAAAGTATGAGAAGAGTTGAAGGAGGTTCCTGCAGGTCACGTGGTCTGCACGCCTAACAAAAAAAAGATGCATGCCTAACAAGATCACGTGACAGTGTCGTGCGTGAAGAGATCTGATGTCGTGCGCGAAGTTTGGTTCCGTCATACTCCTGATCTGTTCGGTCTCCATCACCGGCAACCTCCGTTACCTCAGCAGAATCGGAGGAGGGGACAGAAGTACTCGACTGATCAACAAGTGATGATAGGTTGTGTCCCAGTTCTGTATCCACTTGAGAAATGTCTCCTTCCATGTTCCCCTGAGAAGGGAGGGTGGCTCCGTTAGAATTTGATGGTAATATCACCTTTGGAACCCTGTCTCGTAGATGATTTGACACCTCAAATTCCATCCAGAGTTTCATCTCGGAAAGATTTGCTATGGTCGTCAAGAGCTCCCCTGCTTGAGCGGGATGGGGGAAAGCAGGGATTTGATTTTGTAACAACAAGATCAGCCTATCCACGGCCCGTTCGCTGACTGCCAAGGCAGATATCAAGCCATCCGAGGACACCTCATTCAGTAGAGAACACTCCTGGTTGACTTCACCAATGGTTATCCCATAACTGGACAAGAGGTTGGATCCAGATTGTTGGTTAGGCTGATAATATGTCAGGCGGGCTTCTCCAAACCCCAAGAGGTGGTCACTAATCGAGTCTGACGCTCGCACGAGGAGCAATGCTGGCCGCGTGCTAATTGGATGGTGAGACATCTAGTATATAGGTAAAGAGAAGTAGAAGTATAAAGTACTGTATCCTTAACGAAGGCGACTTCATAGTTATGCTGAACTTTCTGGGCGTTGTCGGGATACTAAACAAACAACTCCACAATCTTCCGCAGGAAAGAAAGGAGGTCCGTGCGCGAGGGTAGATGACGTGTCCGCGTCTTTGAGCCTCACCCTGGAGTGTTGAGGTTTACGTTTACGATGAAGAAACGAGATGCATCGAAAGAGATGAAATGGAACATTCTATAAACATCCGCTCCACTTCCGAATATCCGTATAACACCGTATGTGGCGTTATTCCAACACTCCCCCTAACGCCATATACCAGCAGAGACACTAGAAGGAAAATCGAATATCGTACGGAATGTGAAAGGTGATGAAGATCGCGATAAGACGAATAATCGAACGTGGACTGTGTAGAGGGTGATAATGATTACAGAAAGAAAAGAAAGTCGGACACACATCAATACCCTGGACAGTGTGTTATTAAAGATGTCGAGTTGGCAAACCAGGAAATCCAACTAAACGAATATATGTATAGTGATGAAACCGTAAAGCGTATGACCGTGAACCGTGAAGTTCATTCCGTGAACGATAGAGTTTATTCCGTGAACCGTGAACCGTAGACCGTAGACCGTATGACCGTTTAACATTTAGACCGAAGATCAAATTGATCAGTGAGAAGAAGGATCAGTGAGTTTAAGATGAATCCATCTAAGATCTCGGATTATCTTCTTAAGTCAACCATAATGTTTCAGATCAGGACGATTAAGCAGATCCGTAAGTTCGTGATCGATACGTTCTAAGACATCGATCGTAGGTTCCGAAGACAAAGACGAAGACGAAGACTCCGAAGACGTTTCCGAAGACGTTTCCGAGGGCGTAGATCCCGAAAACAAAAATGATTGATCCGCTGATTGATCCGCTGATTGATCCGCTGATTGATCCACTGATTGATCCAAAGGTTCCAGCGCAAACGTAAACGTATCCGTAGGTTCCGTAGACTCCGCAAGAGGTTCCGTAAGAGATTCCGTAGGTTCTGGCGAAGGGGAATATAGGACAATTGCTTTACGTTTTGAGAGATTGATGGTAGGAAGCGTGGGAAGCGTAGGTACCGTAGGGATCGAAGGGATCGTCGCAGGGATCGAAGGGATCGTCGCAGGGATCGAAGGCGTAGGAATCGAAGGAGTCGTGATCGCAGGAGTCGTAATCACAACCGCAGGAGGATGAATATCCCCAGCCCTTTCTACACCTCCAGTTTTGCTAACATCTACTCCAGCAACCATGCACTTCTGACCGCTTCTAGTGCATTCTGAACACTTATACAATGCCTTTCCACCATGTTCTCTACCATTCTCCCTAGCATCCTCTCTCTTCAGAAAGATACATGTCTTGTGTTTTCGTACGCAATCGTCACATCCCGTGATTGCAATGAACCCATTTTGAACAATGTATTCCTTGTTTGTTTGTCGGCTATCCACCATGTCGAGATCGAGATCGAAGGATGAGAGATCGAGAACGAAGGATGATGGATCGCGAACGAAGGATGATGAATCGAGAACGAAGGTTGATGATGAAACTGAGAAAGTTTCGTGGCACATTGACTTCAGATTTACTCTGTGGCAATTCTCTCTATGTTTCTCACGCGATAATATCTTCGTAAGAAAGTCCGCATTCTGAAGTTCTGATTGTACGTATTCGAGTTTGAGTTCACCATCGTGCACTTTGTTCCGAATATAATGGTGTTTCACATCGATATGTTTCGAACGAGCGTGCGTACCAGGATTACTAGCAAGTAGTATTGCTCCTTGGTTATCACAATGTAGAATCGTACACCCTTGTCGCATACCGAGTTCCGAAAGCAATGTTCGTAACCACGTAGCTTCTCGAGCTGCTTCAGCAGTTGCCGTATACTCCGCATCGAGAGTCGATTGCGCAACTGTGGCTTGTCTTCTTGATTGCCATTGGATTGTACTATGACAGAACTTGAACAGGTAACCTGTCGTAGACCTTCGAGTTTCCGTACATCCAGCGTAATCTGCATCAACCCATCCCTCAAGTCCATGTATAGCTCCCCCTAAGACCAAACCCAGGTCTTTCGAATGTGTCGCATACGAGATGACACGAAGAGCTAGATCGTAATGTGCTTGAGTTGGTTGAGCCGAGGAGCGTGCGAGATATCGTACCGCATAGCAGATATCAGGCCTTGTTGCACCAGCCATCCACATAAGACATCCTATTACTTGTAAATATCCAGTCGAAGTATCGAGAACGTTCGAGTTGACTAGTACAGTTTCAGGTCTAGTGGGAAGAGGTGTCGTGTACGATCGTGGAGCAGCCGTAAAGCGTTTTGCTACTGATTCAATATAAGCTGGTTGAGATAGATGTATGATCTTTCGTGTACGATCTCGTACGACCTTTAAACCTAAGATCTGTGACATTTCTCCAACCTCTGTCATTGTCCATTTCGATTTCAGATAGGACATGAGCTTCGTAATCGTAGTCTTGTTCCGTGCAGCGATTACGAGATCGTCTACGTATGCGAGTACTATTATAGGTCCTTGCTGACCATCTGAGGGCTTATAGTACATTCCCCAGTCAGATTCGAGTCGTACGAATCCGTTCTTCGAAAGGGCATTTCCGAGTTCAATCCACCATACTCGTGCAGATTGTTTTAGTCCGTATAGAGAACCTTTCAATCGTAGAACATCGCAACCAGGTTTTCGAACCATGGCTTCTGGATATCGCATGTAGATCTCTTCTTGAAGTTTACCATTCAAGTATGCACCCTCTACATCGGCTTGATGTAATTCGAGATCGTACGCTGCCGCGATCGTAAGAAGAAGACGAAGACTGACCATACGGCTTACGGGTGCGTACGTTTCTTCGAAGTCGATACCAGGCTGTTGAGAAAAGCCTTTGGCAACTAGTCTTGCTTTGTACTTGATGACATTTCCGTCCGCATCGTGTTTGATCGCAAACACCCATCGTGAGTCTATTGCACGACGACCTACAGGAAGTACTGTTTCTTCCCATGTCTTCTTCGATTCAATATTCGATAATTCTTTCTCCATGGCTTCAGCCCATCGTGAAGCATCGTGACCGTGCAGAGCTTCTCGTGCGGTCTGCGGTACGGTCGCGCTTCCAGACATGGCTGAGATCATCATGACTTCTGATATCGCGAACGTAGTTTGCGCATTTGAACCTCTTTCTCGAATTCGTTCCGAATGTCTGCGAGGTGGCGAAAGAGGCCGTAAGGTCTCGCGAGGTTGTTCATTTGCTGCATCTTCAGGAGCTGCAGGCTCTTCTTCGGTAGGTTGTTCGACTTGTTCGATAGGAGGCGTAAGCGCTCGTGGAGGCGCAGGAAGTGGTTCTGGTAATGGATCAGGTCGTACATCGACCGTAGGCGTAGGAGTGGGAGCTGGTTGTATTGGGATTGGTGCTGGTAATCGTTCGTGTACAATCGGTGCTGGTACTGTGTATTCCGATGCACTTCGTACATCTCGAGAAACCACGATTGTTCCAGTAGCTTCGAATCGTATAACCCAACCGCTCATTCCTTCTTCCTGACCGAGAACTCGTGCGAGTTCACCTTTATTAATATCAAGTTGAGACTTGCCTCGTACATCTCGAGGGATTTGAACGTATACGAGTTCTCCAAATGCGAAAGACTTCGCGAGACTCGGTTTACGACCCGTAAGAGCAAACCATGAATTGACTCCATCTTTGCTTTCACTGGTCTTCATCATCATTACTGAAGCGTATCGTACAGCGAAATCCCAGTACGAATTATCGAGAGTCGCACTCGAGAGCATTGATGCTGCCATTTCTTTTAGTGTACGGTTGAACCTTTCTGCCACACCATTCAGTTCGGGTGTGTATCGAGGAGAGACTTGATGCGTAATCCCCGAAGACGTATACCATTGTCGAGCAGTCTCGCTTGTCACAAAGTGTGTGACAAGTCGAGCGAAAGTCGGGGAAGGGTATTTAACCAGCGATCGGCGGTAGGGTTAACCGCCGATTAATAGGCCTTTTCGTCGCAGTGGTTAAGATCACTGTTCCGTTGGGCACTGTTATATCGTGCATATGCTGGTTAGTATGTCTCGTGACAGATTAATCGGCGGTTGCGGGTAGGATCCTGGGTTCGACTCCCCGGACGGCGCCGGGGGTAACCCAGGCCCTACTTGGAAAACCTCCCTCTCGGAGTAAGTTTTCGGTCTATCGTACCCTTCCCAAGTGTGGGGGCCCAAGCGGGGTCCCCTTGTCGGGGCCCCAAAGCGGGGGCCCAAGAGAGTGCATAATGTCACAAAGTGTGTGACAAGTCGAGCGAAAGTCGGGGAAGGGTATTTAACCAGCGATCGGCGGTAGTGTTAACCGCCGATTAATAGGCCTTTTCGTCGCAGTGGTTAAGATCACTGTTCCGTTGGGCACTGTTATATCGTGCATATGCTGGTTAGTATGTCTCGTGACATCGCTCATGTATTCTGAACCTCCGTCCGTACGTAAGAAGCGTACGACACCTCCAAGCTGTCTTTCGATTTTCGTAACGAATTCCTTAAGGTAGTGAATTACCCATTTACGATCTGCGGACGTGATTACACGATTGACTTTCGAATAATCGTCGTACATCGTAATGATGTAGCATGCTCCTTGACCAGAAGCTTTGATAGGACCAGAGATATCTGAATGGATCATCTCGCAAGGCCGTGTACCGCGTGGAGATGTATCGTCCTTCGAGAGTCGAACAGCTTTTCTTTCTTGACAGACTGAACAGTCACTTGTACGCCAGGTATCGTTCTCGAGCTGTTCGATCGAATATCGAAGCTCCCCCTGACGTGCAAGCTCGAGTATACGCTTGCGACCAATATGACCTAGTCGATTGTGTTCGCTCTGAAGAGCTCCCATACTCGTGATCGTATTGATCACTCCAGGTTTGGTCTTGCAGACCATTGAGCCGAATCGTACGTAATTGAGGACACCATCCTCTCGCATAGCAACGTGTACGCCCTGTCTACGGAGCTCTTGTTGCATGAAGTCGACTTGCCATCCACGTTTACGAAGAAGACCTGTAGATAGTAGGTTCTGTCTTGCGTTCGGTACATAGTAAACGTCCGTAAGTCGTAAGCCTTTACCTGAAGTTAGGATAAGGTAGATTTCTCCTTTCTCTACGGCTTCCATGGTTGTATTGTCGCTCGCAAGTCCGAATCGTACAGGTCCGGGAAGCTTCTCGATGTTCGTAAGAAGCGCACGATAGGGCGTAATATGATGTGTAGCACCACTATCAAGTAGAAATTCTGGTTCGAGATTGTTCGACACAATCGTTTGCTGTACGCTCGGTTCGTATACGAGGGATGCTGATGAAGCCATCCAGAAATCATCACCTTGAGGTTCATCTTCGACGTTCTCGGTGGCTTGCGCGGCACTTATACGTGCACGTTTCTTGTCTCCACGATGATCATCGCGCGCTTTCTTGCGACATTCGGCCTTGATATGACCTTTCTTCTTGCAGTAGTGATACTCTACTGTCTTCTTCCAATCCTCTGATCCTTGAGTTCCTTCTTCCGTACGATTCGTACGATTACTACCACCTGTACGTACGATACATGTAGTGTTGACTTGAGAGGATCGGGTAAGTTGCACTGCTTCCATGACTCGACCGCGATCTGCGATCTCGGATTGATACATACGACGGATTTCGGCCCAGGTCTTTGCGTTCTCGGGTAGGTTCATGAACAATGTACGTACGACCTTGAAATCCGAAGAAAGCGAATCGAGAAACCAATCCGTACGTGCGTTATCGCCAAACTTGCATCCTGAATCTAATGCTTCCAACCATAACATATTGAAAGCTTGTAGGTGGCTTGTCATCTTCTCTGCGGTCGCGTTCGAAGGCAGACGAAGGTTTCGTAGACGACGTTCGACGTCTGTACGGTGTTCGCTAGTGTTCAACTGCATGTCTTTCTCCAACCACTGCCACATGTCATATGCGGTCTTATGCGATCGTACATCCACGAGTAAGCCGCTATCGACCGTACTCATGATGGCGCCTTGTGCACGAAGTTCACGTTTGCGCCATTCTTGCCACTTGTCTTCCTCACGTGTTGTGAGAGGTTTCTTGTCACCGGTGATCTCGTTCGATGTCGGCATGACGGAACCCGCACGTTCTGTACGTTTGATCTCGAGGGGTCTTCCACCATCGTCGAACTCGTGTGTATACTTTCGAAAGGGTTCGACATCTGTTCCTTGTACGATTGCGAGGCAACCGTTTACAAGTAGGTAGTTCTCGATCACAAGCTTCCACTTGTGATAGTCAGAGACACTGATGAGCTTTGGAATACTCTCCAGGCCGACTATACGATCGTGCAAACGACTTTCGCTCATCGTAAGATAATAACTAGGGGTCAATGCTCACTGCGATCAAAGGTAACGTAGTCGTACGAACTCGTATTGCACTAGTTAGAGCTTTGAGCAGTGTCACGAACTACGTCGTGACACCTCGATTACTCCACCAACAATGACCCTCCTTTGGCCATCAAAACCCCATCACGCCTTAACCTCTTTACTCTACACGTAACTCAGGACTTCTGACACCAAGTACGGCGAAGTTAGACGGAGTTAGGCTAAGTAGGGACAATGGGAGCAGAAGTGCGGCGATGTTAGGCGGAGTTAGGCTAAGTAGGGACAATGGGAGCAGAAGTACGGCGAAGTTAGACGGGGTTAGGCTAAGTAGGGACAATGGGAGCAGAAGTGCGGCGATGTTAGGCGGAGTTAGGCTAAGTAGGGACAATGGGAGCAGAAGTGCGGCGATGTTAGGCGGAGTTAGTCGAAGGAGGAAGAGGATGGCCGAGGGCTCGGGGAAGTTGGACGAAGTGCGTTGAAGTACGTCAAAGCGCGAGAGGGTTGGATGAACGTCTAGGAGGAGTAGATAATATTAGCTGAGAAGATCGCTGAAGTTCTTCAGCGATCCTTGATTGTTGTCAGTAGTGAAAGATAGATAGAGATAGCTATTTACAAATCGAGATACATCGCCATCAGTAGAACAAAACCCCAGTTAGAGTAACCACGGCGAAGTACGCCGTAGTTACACCCCTTTCGACGTCTGCGCCCTCCCGGTTGGGTGAGACATCGATCCATAAGGATCAAGTTAGCCGAGGTTCGTCGACCGTCGGTCTATTAGGAAGTAGTTGCTCGAGGGCCGTGACAGTATCAAGGATCGCTCTTACCGACGACCCGTGCGAACCTCGGAGAAGTACGAAGATTCTATGGAACCAGATAGGAGAGTTACACGAGGTATGAGTAGGGACGGGGATAGGATGGAGGAGAACGAGAGGAGGGCACTGGAGGAGCTTAGCAGAGCAATGGGGCAGCAGCTTGGAGCGGAGGATAGTGTGGGGGGATCAATTCAAGGAGATGAGTTCGTTCCACCATTTCCTTCTAATCCTCCTACCCCTTCGGGTAATGCTCTCCCACCCGTAGGATCCCCAGTTGGATCGGATCAAACCCCGCGGCCAGAAAACACTGGAAGTACGGCGAACTTGGGAGAAGGAGGTACACAAGGGGTGATATTGGCCTTGATGCAGATGGTGGCGAATATGAACAAAGACATGATGGAAGAGAGGAGGCGTAGGGAAGAGTGGGAGCAGAGAAGAGAAAGGGAGACGGTGGGCGGTATTGCAGAAGGGATATCAGAAGGGGTGAGGTACGCCATGGGACGGCAAACTTCGGCGACCCCGAGCGTGGTTGGGGAACAACGGAAGGGAATAAAACTGCCTAACCCGGACTTCTGGAGAGGGGAGAGGAACAAGTTGACCGCATTTCTGTCGGAATGTGAAATCCATTACGAACTGAACTCTCATCTTTTCCCCAACGACACCAAGAAAGTCTTCTTCATGATCTCTCATTTACGCGAAACACCTCTTCTTGCCGTCCAACCCGATCTTGCTAAACGACCTCTTCCTGACTACCTTATGGAGTATGATCAATTCGTTAAATATCTCAAGACAAACTTTGGTGATCCGGATGAAGAAGGAACCGCAGCTCGACTGCTTAACGATCTAAAGCAGACTGGGTCAGCTTCGGAGTACTTCTCCGCCTTTCAACGACATGTGGCGATACTCAAGTGGTCTGATGACGGAAACCTGGTTGACCGAGC